CTCAGAGGGACACCCCCAGTCCAGCGAGGTCAAGAGGCTGGACTGAGGTCACCTCGCCAGCTGTGGGGGTGGAGACATTGACTCTGCCGGTGAGAGATCCCGGCGGCCAAGAGCGCCCCCTGCCGGCGCCATAGCACGCGCTGGGCCTGCGGGTGGATGGACGGGGCTCCGAGGTGAGGCTTCGCCTGGACTGGCCGCCTTTGCCGCAGCCTCGAACCCAGGTCTGCAGACTGTCTGAGCAGCGCTCCTCTCCTGCACCCCGTCTGAGTGTTGGGGGAAGCCGGGAAACGGGGAGGCACTCATGCGCCTAGACAGCCCTCCCGGAGCCTCAGTTTCCCCATCTACCCCAGGAGGCTGAGGTGGCGCCACGGGGGAGGGGGCGGGAAGGCTTTGGTAGCGGCCTGTCCTGCGCATGCTGGACCTTGAGACGCCGTGTGGCCCGAGGCCAGGAGCTGAGCACCCCAGGGTGCCGTTCCCCCAGAGACAGACGTGGCAGCCCCACGGAGAGCCCTGCTCACCCTCTCCCTGTTCTCATTCCCCTGGTCACGTGCTCACACCTCCCTGACCCTGGGCCTCGCTCCCGTCACCCCGTCACAGGGACAGGCCCAGCGTCTGGCACAGAGGGGCCCTGTCGACGGAGCAGGACGGGTGGCTCGACGGAGAGCTAAGCGCCTGGTCCAAGTCCTCGGCCAGCTGGTAGCCAGTGTAGGACTTGGACCTGGGTCCTGGTCTCACTCTCGCCCAGCCTGACCCCGCAGCCAGGGACCCTCCGGGACGTAGGGTCTCTGAACACCCCCATCTGAGCCTCCGCCGGCCCCCGGGCAGCTGGACCACCAGGCTGCAGGCAGCCTGCCTGCCCCTGCCCCTGCCCTGCCCCTGCCCCTGTCCCTGCCCCACCCCTGCCCCTGCCCCTGCAGCCTGGCCGGCCCACAAAGACATGGCGGGAGGTCACACTGCCTGATCCAGGAGAATTCAGGGGCCAGAGCTGCGCAGAGGACACAGCTGGAAGAAGAGTGGAAGGAAGATGAAAAGGGGTCCCTTACACCTCACCTCTCCCAAGACCCAATGAGGGAGATGTGAGGGCCTGGAGCTTTGGGTGGGGGTCCTTAGAGGCGGGGGTGGGAGGGTGGGGGGAAACAGGCCGGAGTCAGCCTGCAGGTGGCCTGTCCCCAGCCAGCCCCCCACCACCTCCCTGCACAGTGAGCCAACCGGACCAGGTGCCCCTGCCCTCCTGGCCCGTCGCTCTGAGGCCAGGCTGCTCTCTCTGCAGCCTCCGTGCCACCCCCAGAACCAGGCGGACAGTGAGATCCAGGTGGCGGCTGTGTATGCCTGTGTGCGGTAGGGGACACTGAGGTTGGAGAGGTAAGGTGATAGCCCACCGGCAGCCATGGCACCATGGCCGGCACCCAGACCCTGGTTCCTGGCAGGCCCGGTCCAGGCGCCCAGGCAGCGGACACGTGTGGCCTCCACCGCGTGGGGAGCCGTCTCATCTCGTCGGTTCACTGGACAGCGCGGGGCAGGAAGGGGTGGAGGCCCCGCCTGAGTGTCTGTGGGGTCTCCTTCGCACAGACTTCCTGCGGGAGGGAGCCCCCATCCACGATGCCCCCGGGGTCAAGGCCAGCCTTCCCCCAGCTCTGCTCCGGGGGGCAGGCCTGGAGAGGAGCGGCGAGAAAGGGCCACGTGCCCTTCCACGTCCTGCACCCCCTGCCCATGCCACCCTCCCCTCCACCTCCTCCCAGGGCACCCCCTCCGCAGGCAGCAAAGCCCAGAAGGCCCCGCCCCCGCAGCACAGGCCCCGCCCCGCCGGCCCGGCGCTGCCATTCGGTTATTTTTAGCGAAGCCGCAGCCTCCGGGAACCGCGAGTCGAGGGGAAGCCGCCCCCGCGCCTCCAGGAGCTGCTTGCGGAAAACGATCGATTAAACCTGCGCTGCCAGGGCCCGTGCCAGGCGGGCAGCCGGCGGGAGAGGCGGAGCCAGCACTGGGGCCTCTCCCCCGCGGCCCTCCCCCCGGACACACTGGGACCAGCTGTTCCCCAGCGCCCTCTCCTGCCCGCGCCCCGCCATCCCTGCATCCCTCCCGCCAGGCAGCATAGGGGTGGGCAGCCCCGGGAGGTTTGGGGAGCGAGGAAGGACCCCAATTGCCTGCCTGGCTTTCTGACTGGCTCAAGTCTTGTCCCAGGAGGGCTGCAGGCGGGCCAGGCCCTGAGCTCCTGAAGGAAATGGTGGTCAGGGTTACATATTGAGAAATACATTCCTAATACAAGTCTGTATTCTGTGTTTGAGGCCTAGGCCCCAGGATAATCTTCTCCGCCCGGACATGATAGTCTGGGTGCCGGATTTAGGTGTGAGCCCCAGGTGGAGGTCTGGGTGCTCAGGCAGGGTGTGGTCACTAGGGGGCGCTGTGGGCCCAGGTGGGAGGTCTGGGTCAAGGGCAGGACTCAGGCGGATGAAATGGTGGTCAGGACTGGCCTGGTTATTTGGACTCCAATAAAGGAATAGGCACTGGCTCCCAGTATGGGTCCCCAGAGAATCCTCCTGGTCCTCGCCATAATAGTCTGTGACCAGGAGGTAAGTCTGAGCCCCGGACGGCGGTCTGGGTCCCTGGAGGGCCTTTGGGGCCAGGGAGGGCCGTCTGGGCCCCCGGGGGCGGTCTGGTACCTCAGCTGGACACCTGGGTTATGGAAATGCTGGTCTGGGTACCAAATTGAGAAGTGCACCCAGGATACAAGTCTGGATTCTGTGTTTGAGGCCTGGGCCTCGGCCCCGCCATGATCGTCTGGGTCCCGGGTGTAGGTGTGAGCCCCAGGGGGAGATCTGGGTCCTGTGAGGGCAGTTCCGGCCCAGAGGGAAGTCGGAAGCCAGGGGCCAGTCTGGTACCTCACCTGAGCATGTTGGTTAAAGAATAGTTGTTGGGGTTACGCATGGAGATCTCGTCCCCTCATACAGCTCTGAGTTCCAGGTTTGTGGCCTGGGCCCCAGGTGGGCCTACTCGGCCCCGCCATGAAGGTCTGGGGCCCGGATGTAGGTCTGAGCCCCGGATGTAGGTCTGGGTGCTCAGGCGTGGTGTGGTCACTAGGGGGCGCTATGGGCCCAGGTGGGAGGTTTGGGGCAAGGGCAGGACTCAGGGTGGTGAAATGGTGGTCAGGACTGGCCTGGTTATTTGGGCTCCAATTAGGTATAGGCACTGGCTTCCAGTATGGTTCCCTGAAATGGCCTCTGGTCCTCGCCATAATGGTCTGTGACCAGGAGGTAGGTCTGGGCCCCCGTCAGAGGTCTGGGTCCCTGGAAGGCCTTTGGGGCCAGGGAGGGACGTCTGGGCCACTGAAGGTGGTCTGGTACCTCAGCTGGACATCTGGGTTATGGAAATGGTGGTCTGGGTTACACATTGAGAAGTACACCCCTGATACAAGCCTCGATTCTGTGTTGGAGGCCTGCGACCCGGGATAATCTTCTCGGCTCCAGGTGGAGGTCTGGGTCCTGTGAGGGCGGTTTGGGCCGGAGGGAAGTCTGAGTCCCGGGGGCCCTCAGGCCTCACCACAAGCTGCCAAGTAGGTGGTGCCCTCGGCCGTGCTCAGGCGAGGACGGAGCTCTGCCGCCCTCATCAAGGCAGCGTCCGGGCCTCGCTCTCCAGCCTTCGCCGGTGACAGAGGGCAGTGCTGGACAACGAACGTGAGGACTGACCGATGCTAGCAGGATGCTCCTCCCCCCCCTAGACCCCAGGTGTAGGGCCATGTGCTGGGATGGAGGACAGCCACTGCGGGTCAGGCCTCTGAGCTGTGGGGACACAGGACAGCTGTAGCCCGGTGCCAGAGAGCCATGGGGAGCAAATGCCAGGCTGTGCCCCTGCAGCCCACTGGGTACCCCCTCCCTGCTCCTGCCTCATCTTACATGGCCTGCCTTCAAGCCCCAGCCTCAGGCCTCCGCTCCCAGCAAGCTCCCAGGTTCCTCTTCCAACCACAGAGGCTCCTGGCCTCAGGGGGCCCCTCTCTGTTCGGCATCTTGGGGTGCTTTTCCCCTCTGGTAAGCTGTGGGCCACAGGCTCCACTGTCTGGGGAAGACACCCCCTTTCCCAGAATGCCACCAAGAGCTTGGGGCCAGGGGAGACCCAGCCTACCCCTAAGAACCTGCTGAGAATAGGCAGGGCCTGGGTCTGAGGTAGGGGTGTGGGGATGGGTGTGAGAAGCGGAAAGTGAGAGGTCTGGGTGGGCCGGAGGGCTTCCCTCAGGAGGGGAGCTCCCTACCTCCCGCAGGGCCCTGCTCCATCCTCCATCCCCGGTCCAATGCTGCCCCCATGTGGACCACAGGCTCACATTCCGGCTGGGGACACAGTATCACTCTTGGGGCCCAGTGCTCTTCAGAGGGAAATCAGAGGCCTGCGCTGTGAGGCATACCCAAGGCTGTGCCTCCAAGCTTCTGCCGGTAATGTCCTCTCTCTTCCCGACAGACCCGGAGCCCCAGCCCCAGCCCCAGCCCACTGCCCACCACCTTCCCTTCTCCCAGAAGCTCTGAATCCATCTCTTGGAGGGATGTGAACTTCAGGGTTTATTTTCCAACTCTCCACCCCTCCCTTCTCAGCCTTCCCTTCTCTCCTCTTCCCTTCGACAGTCCACTCTCCACGCAGTTGCCAATATGTTTGTATTGGTTTTTAGAGAAAGGAAGGGAGAGGGATAGAGAGAGAGAAATATCAATGAGAGAGGGACGTCATTGATTGGCTGTGTCCTGCACCCCCCCACTCGGGATGGAGCTTTGACCAGAAATTGAACCTCTGCCTGTTGGTTCCTGGGTTAGGGTTAGGATTAGCTGGCACCAGGGGTATTTTTTAAGAACAAAAGTCTGTCACTTCCTGCCTAACACACCCCTCAAGTCTAGCCTCCGGGTCAAGACTTGGGCCAAGAACCTGGAGCTGGAGGACTAGGAGAAGGCGGGGGCCAGGCTCGTAGCTCCGCCTTCCATCTGACGACATCCTCCCGGCCTTAGGAACCTTTCTTCCCGGCTCTGGGGAAGCTTTTCCAGTAGTACTTCCGACCTTGACGACCGTATTTCCCGTGCTGCACCGCGGCCTCCTCTCTCTCTTCCGGTCCCTGGCGCTTCGGCAGCCGCGGGCTTCTGTGAGTACTGGCCGCGCGGCATCCGACACCATCCGCGACTCCCGGGGGGCGGCGGGGCGCAAACCCGGGAGGACCGGGGGGCCGGCTGCCTGCTGTGCGGCGCGGAGGCCGCGAGGCGGGGTGGCGCTCGTGGGTTGTCGAGGGGGGATGGGAAGGGGAGAACTCGGGTTTGGGGAGAGCGCAATGTTGCGGCGGGATGTTGGTTTCGGGGCGCCACTCACCGAGTTGGCGGGGATGGAACCGGGCGGTGCAGAGTGAGTCGAGGCGGGTGGAGGCCGCAGGTGCGGGGCATCTGTCTGCAGCGTCGTTCCGGCTCCTGGCCTCACGTTCCTCCAGGTCAGGGCAGGCCCAGCCCGGCGGTCCGCAGCCCTGACCTCCGCTCTCGTCTTCCAGGTGCGGAGATGGCCAAGTCCAAGAACCACACCACGCACAACCAGTGTAAGTCCCTCCGGCCCGGCCTCCATCTCACGCCCCACACCCTGGCACGGATTACAGATACTGGGGCAGGGATGGGCACGTGCCTGCTGCGGCCCTAGGGCCGGTTTTGATCTTAGCCAGCATTACCTTTGGGATTTAGAAGGCAGGGGTCGCCATAGTTGGTTTGGCTCAGTGGATCGAGCGTCGGCCTGCGGACTGAAGGATCCCAGGTTCGATTCCTGTCGGGGGCATATCCCTCTTCCTTCTTCTCTGTAAAAAATTAGTAAAATGTTTTTTAAAATAATAGAAGGTCAGGAGTCCGCGGGGATACCCACAGTGCTTTGTGCTCCGTAATAAGGGGTTTCCGGCTCTCAAGTAGGCCCACTCTGGGAAGTAATGGATTCCCAGGCTTGGCAGCTGTGGTGTTGCGTGGTCTTACCAGACACCTCCTTTTGATGTAATTCCTTTCTTCCTCCACAGCCCGGAAATGGCACAGAAATGGCATCAAGAAACCCCGGTCACAAAGATACGAATCTCTTAAGGGGGTAAGTGTATGCCTGTGCAGCCCCGTGAACTGACCCTCGGTTTGCTTTGGCCTGCAGTTTCCTTCCTTACCCAGCCAGCTCTCGCCTGGACTTCGGGCTCTGCCAGGCCCATCATAACGCTGTACTTGGCCTTTTCTAACTCCTGGTGTCTTTCGGGGCCAATCTGACCATCTCCCTTGCCCACCCTGAGACTTGGAGTGGCTTTGTCCGTGTGGGCCTCATCCCTTAGAATCCTTCCGCGCCAGCGAGCTCTGAGGATTAGCTGACTAGTCTGTGTTACTTCCTTGAATCGGTTGTACCCAGGCTTGGTATTTAACCCACACCTTTAAGGGGACATGGTGTCCCTTAGGACCAGCATGCCAAACTCAGAGGCTGAGATGGGCCAAATAAGGTGTAAATGCAAAAAACAAAAGTGTTGATTTCCATGGAAATGTAGGTTTATTATCATACGTGGGCTTGATGCTGTCCGATACACGCTGAATACCCAGAGGGCTGAAATAAATGAATCATCGCTAACATAAAATAATAGAATGTTTTAACAAATACTAATGTTTTTTCTTGAACATTAACTACCAGACACTGAATAACTGCACAGATTAATAAACGTAACACAAACCTATTTTTCTTGTTCTCTGAAACCGAAATATATCCTGTTGCGCACACCAAATGAGTCAGTCCAAGACCAGTGGTGTGGCCATCGGCTACTAAAATATCCGATGTTAGTGGAGAGAAATGGTGCGCCTGCGAGTAAGGGAAGTGAATGCGCCATGGTTGTAGAAGTCATTAGCTTTTGTTAATTGAAGCTTTTGCTTTTTTGAGGCCTACATAAACTTAAGTCTTAGTCATTAGTTGTGGTTCATTATGAATGATTATGTTTAATAGGATATTATAAAATTTAAGTTACAAAACTTTCATTAAAATGTTTCTTATATACCACGTTGGCTGGGCCAGAAAAGTACGCAGGCCTCGAGTTTGACATGCTAGCCTCAGGTTTTTGAAGTCCCACCCCAGGCAGAGGGGTGGGGCGGCCTTGCATTTGCGCTCAGCCTGGCTCTGGGCGCAGAGGCCTGCACGTGCGCTCTGTGTGGCCTCAGCAGGAGGGTGGTGGCTTTGGGTGCTGCTGCTCTGGAGTTTCTCTGCAGATGAGCTTCCAGGGTTCGGTGTTTGCATTTAAGGTTGGTTTGATGCTGTCCAAGCTCCCAATAGGCCTCGGCTGAGCCGATAGTCTCTTGGTGCCGCTATGGAGAGGGCACCAGGGGGTCCTCCTGCATGCTGCGCTCACAGGCGCCTGTACCTTTCCTGCCTTCCAGGTAGACCCCAAGTTCCTAAGGAACATGCGCTTTGCCAAGAAGCACAACAAGAAGGGCCTGAAGAAGATGCAAGCAAACAACGCCAAGGCCATGAGTGCCCGTGCTGAGGCCATCAAGGCCCTGGTCAAGTCCAAGGAGCCCAGGCCCAATATCCCAAAGGGCTGCAGCCGCAAACTCAGTCGGCTTACCTACATCGCTCACCCCAAGCTTGGGAAGCGCGCTCGTGCCCGCATTGCCAAGGGGCTCAGGATCTGCTCGCCAAAGGTCAAGGCCAAGGCCAAGGCCGAAACCAAGCCCCAGGCTGCAGGTGCAGCTGCAGCTCAGGCTCCCAAAGGTGCCCAGGCCGCTGCTCCCAAAGCAGCTCAGGCCCCCGCTCCCAAAGCGGCTCAGGCCCCCACGAAGGCTCCACAGTAGGACGGAAGGACTGGTGGGCCCCTGGCTGCAGTCTGCGAGGCGCTGCTGCCATCCTGTGCTGTTTGTACAAATAAACCTGCGGCAGGATCTGTCTGTCAGCCTGTCTGATCCCAGCGTTCGGGTGGGCTGGTGCCTCCATTTCCTGGGGGAGAAGTCCGCCTTCTCTGGCTGGCTGGTGTCAGGAAGTGGTTCCCCAGACCATGAGGACTGGTTGGGCACGCTGGTGAGGCCGAGTCAGGCCTTGATGTTCGCATGGGGAAGAGGGAGGGAGCAGGAGGATCCTGGGCTCTGACCTGGTGTTCCCGACTCCGGCTGCTGCTCGCCCCGTGCTTGGGGCCGAGTGGAGTGGAGACTCCATGGTATGGCTGCTGCCTGGTCAACGCAGATGGGCTCTTTCTGTCCCAGGAGGCCTGGCAGGTGTGGCCCTGGGGGCCCGGGAGTCCAGCACGTTGTTGGAGAGCTGGGCACGCACGGGGCAGTGCCCAGTGTTGGAGGGACCTGACAGGCCGCTTTGACAGCGGGAGTGAAAGCAGAGTGTATAGAGCCCTAGTGCAGTGTCCACGCTGAGCCCTGTAGTGGGACAAGACATGCAGGTCTGGGGGAACAGGCGGGTCCCCGAGCTGCCGGAAGACGGGAACGTGGGGGACTGAAGGCTGAAGGGAGGGAGGCTAGCTCGCTGCCCTTCCCTCTCGGGAAAAGAGGCTGATCTTCAGCCCGAAGCAGTGTCAGGTCGTGGGAGGCTTGAAGGCCTGAAGAGCCGGTGCCTCCAGCTGCCCCAGCGACACTCGCCTCCAGTGAAGGCTTGGGGGCGGGGGGTTAAGCCCAGAAATAGCCGCTGCTTGGTTGGCACTGGTGTGTGAAGAGTGGACTCGGCCGCAGAGAACTGCAGGCTGGGCTGGCCCGCGGGAGGGAGGGCCCGCGGAAAGGGCCGGGCGCTGCCGTAAGCCTGAGAGGCACATGTCTGTGTTGTCCCTGAGCTGTCGGAAAAAGTACAGACCTGCCTGCACCAAAAAATACAGAGGCACAGGCTTTCTGTGGGGGTTCCGGGGTCAGCAAGCTTTTAAACCATTCGGCACAGTGCCTTTCCCCTCACATGGCTTAGCTGAGGGGACGGGAGTGAGCACAGGCTGCCTCTCAGAGCAGATGCCTGTCAATCGCCAGTGCCCCTGGCATTTTGGTCCAATTAGGCAGATCCACCAGATAGAGCAGCGGAGCAAGGACTGGCCCTCAAGGGCTGTAGACCACATTCCTTTAGCCAGCCCTGCCACTGCTCGGTCACCTGTGCCCACTAAATGGCCTCCCCGCCACAGCACCTACGAGGCCCAACCTCTGAATGTCCCCACCTCTGCCTCTGGCTCTGCAATCCGCAAAGAAGGAGCAGGAAGTGCAACAAGCCTTGTGTACAGAGGCCTAGCCGGGTAGTCGCCCACCTGAGGGCGGTTGGCACTCCACCATCGGGCACACTGGGTGGGAACGAAGGCAGCACAGGCCGAGTTACCACGAGGCACCAAGCGGTTGTCCCTGGACTGGGACGTTCACTGCCATCTGCACTGGGACCTTCTGCAGTTGGGCAGTGACTTTGTGCCCCTAGTGGGGAGGAATGGCTGTCCCTAGTGAGACCCTGTCACCCTAGTGCAGCTGGGACCCATGGAGACACTAGTGTGTGTGACGGGCACAGGCACCATGGAAGGGAGGAGGCGGGTCGGCCTGTCCCCTGCTAGTGACCTCACGACAGCGCCACCTCCCAGCCTGCACGGCTTACACAGCCCGGCAGGTTCCCGGCTGCAGCTGCTTCACACCAAAGACCAGGCTGTGACCTCCTAACCCAGGTCCCTGTGAGCACATCTCTAACCTCAGACTCCGCTGTGCTGTGGCGTCATTACTGAGGCACCCTGCGTCCCACCTACAGTGAGTCTTACAGCCGATGCATCTGCATGCCCCTTTGCACACACAAACGTCCCGAGGGACCCACACCAAGGTCAAGCGACCTAGCACACTGGCTGGGGTCCTGGGGGACACGGCAGGAACGATGGTTGCTAACACGGCGGCTGCTTTAATCGGCCTTTTTCCGTGTGTGTGTGTGTGTGTGTGTGTGTGTGTGTGATGTTCCTGTGGGCTGTCTCCAGGGCGGTCAGTGGGGAACCAAAAGAGCTACCCCCTGCGGCTGCAGCCCCCGGCAGGTGAAGGGCACTGGAGGGGGAGGGGGCACGTGAGACAAGAGCCGGTCCTGGGAGGAGTGGGGACAGGGCAGAGGTGGCTTCCTGTCGTCCCCTACCCGCCCCACGCCCTGCTGTCTGGTTCTTGAGCAGCCCTGGCCTGCCCAGGATGGAAGGCCCCCGCCCTTCATCAGGAGCGGGTGCGGCTCAGCCTGGTTCCCCCCCGCGTGCTGCAGGGGAGCCCGCACGCTGCTGCCGCCATGCACCTCAGACGCCGTTACTGTTAGTCCTCGAACCGACCTGGAGGAGTGATCGCTGGCTAGGCCTCCAGAGTAGGAAGCACGAGTCCCCGGTTTCCAGTCTCAGACCTTGACTCCCTTCCCCCGGGCTGTGCGGCATGGGCAGCTGCCGGCAGACTAACCCGGCTCAGGGCCTGCGTCAGGGCTGCAGGGCCCTGGGGTGGCAAGAAGCTGGCAGTGTCCTGGCTCCTCGCTGGGACCGGAGCAGGGGCTTCTTACTGTCGGGGCTGAGCCTGCAGGCCTGGCTTCCCTCCGGCCACAACGAGCCCCAAAAGCCAGCCTCCCTGCCCCCTGCCCACGCTCAGGGCGGTCAGAACCAGACGAGGTCAGGTCCGAGGGGGGTGGCTCAGCTCACAGGCTCACAGCTGACCCCTAGCACCGCCTGGGGCCGAGGGGCTGGCCAATGGGAGCTGACTGTGGGCCTCTCTGTACACGCTGACCTGCGACCCTGCCCAGGGTGCTGGGACCCTAAGATGAACAGACCTGTGCTCCCCAAACCAGAGCAGGGCCACACCTGCTTCCTGCCCGCCTGAAGGCTGACCACGTTGGCAGTTAGCCTTGCCAGCTGCACCCACATGCCCACATCTGGCGGGGGCCCTGCGTGTGCTCCCCGAGAGCCAGGAGTCACGCCCTGACATCTGTGTCTGTTGTCCCCCTCAATGGGAATGGCATTCCGGCCTCACAGATGTAGACATGGTGGCTGCTGGGAACGGAATGCTGGCCGCTGTGGCCGGGCACAGGGCTGGGGGTCAGGTGGCTGTGCCGTGTGAAGGACACGCAGCCCAGGGTGGTGGGCAGTGCCCAGAGCCAGGCTGTTTCCCCTGCGCAGCGGATGGTAGCCGCACCCCTGCTCCACGCACGCGCTGCTGCCAGTTTCAGTGGGCCCTGTCCACCAGGCTTTATTGTGGGGCCGGGGCGGGGCCTGGCACTGGCCAGGTGGACGCTCCAGGGGCAGAGGCTGGGAGCGCGGCTCAGCCGTCGCTGGGCAGGGCGGGCACGCTGGCCAGCGCGGGCAGCAGCCGTGTGTATATGTCGATCCCCCGGAGGAACACGGCCTCGTGCAGCCGCTCGTCATGGTCGTGCAGCAGCACGGGAGTGCGGTTCATGGGGGAGAAGCCCAGGGCCGGGACCCCCACCTGCAGGGGAGGAGGAGCCGTCAGGGGGCGGCGGGTGCCCAGGACCACCGCTGCCCCCGCCCGCCCGCCCGCCAGCAGCTCACCGCGCGGAGGTAGCGGCTGTCGGTGGCCGCGGGGAAGATCTCCTGCTCCAGGGTGAGGCTCCTGAGGGGCAGAGCCTGGTGAGGGGGCGGGCAGGGAGGAGGGAGGCCAGGGCCCAAGGGGCACAGAGAGTGGACGGAGAGAGGGGAGCGGAGGGGAGGCGGGCCAGTGCTCACATGTCCTTGCAGACCCCACTAAACGCTGCCCACCAGGGGTCTGAGTCATCCGTAGAAGTTATCCGGGGCTCCGTCCACTTCTGCGGGGAGGAGAAGGGTGGCAGGGTCAGGACAAGGCCTGAGCATCTTGCCCTATTTTCATAGGGTGGGTATTGCCCAGCACATGGTGCACACGCGTGCACACACACACACACACACACACACACACACAGCCAGGTGGCCAGCCCATCCACCAACTCCTTCAGTTCCTCCAAGGACCCTAGGCTGCCTCCCCAGCTTACTTCCTGTCCATCCTTCAGGTCCCAGCCCTAGCGTCCCTCCCTCCAGAAGGCTCTCCCAGAGGACCAGTCCCCTCTCCTGGACCATGTTTATGCCCAGATAAATGCTGTGAGAATGAGGACTGAGGACTAAACCGGGTCAGGTGACTCCCAGGGCACCAAGCACACCTACAGGGACACCACCTGGCAGGCCCCGACCCCCGGTTCCCACAGCCCGTCACCGGGCCGGTACCTGGACAAACTCGAAGGTGACCCCCGGGCCAGCTGCCTGGCACCAGCCGTGCAGCCGCTCCTCGAACGCCTAGGAGACGGAGAGGAGCTGAGCCCGGGCTCCCCTGAGCCTGCAGGACAGGCCTGAGGGCCCGGCTCCCTCCTCCAAACCCCGGCGGAGGTGGCACCTGCAGGTCCACGTCCGGGGCCACACGGAAGTCAAAGCTGGCGCTCATGGTGGCGGGCACCACGTTGTAGGCCATGCCGCCCTCCAGCTTGGTCAGGTTCACAGAGGTCACGGCGCCCAGCTTCAGGCGGGCGTTGGCCTGCAGCCTGCGGTGGGCACACAGGTGAGGGCCGGGCTCAGCCTCCCGTCAGTCGCGGATCCCTGCCCGGCCGCCCAGCGCCTCACCTCTGCTTCTCCTCCTCCCGGAAAGCCAGCACGGCGCCCACGACCCTGTGCTGGGAGCGCAGGAGGTCAGATGTGAGAGGGCCCGGGACCTCCCCAGCTCACCCCTGGGTGCCACCCACCACCACCCCTGGGTTTCACCCACCAGCTTCTCGGCGGCTGTGTCCTCGATGAACCTCGAACCGTGGCCGGGCTTCCCGGTGCTCGTGACCCGCACCCCTGGGAGGCGCAGCGAAGGGCCCTTCAGCATGGGAGAGGCTGGGCGGGCCAGGCCTGCCCCTCCGTCCAAGCTCCTCTGGCAGGACTGCCCCCCGGGGCCCACAGTGCAGGGCTGCTTCCTGCCCTCAGAGGGGCAAGGCTCCGGCCCGGGTCTCCCATCTGCACGGTGACACCCCTCCCCCCACGCCACTCACACCAGGGGCTCCGCTCGCTGTAGAAGACAGTGAAGGCGTCAGTGGGGTTGGCCAGGCCTAAGGAGGGAGGAAAGGGGTCAGAGGGCAGGGTGGCCCAGCCCCCCTAGCAGCCTCCCTATCCGCCCCCTCTGGCCTCTCAGAGGCCTGCCGCCTGCTCACCCTCATCCAGGGCGAAGCCAGCCCTCAGGGCCTTGAACTCAGGCCGCTGCACAAACAGCTCCATGCCTTGGTGACCCCCAATCTCCTCATCTGTGAAAGCAGAGGGACGGGAGGTGAGGGAGCCATGCCCCAGCACCCCTCCCCCCCCTCCCTGGAGGAGCCCTCCCGGCCACGCCCACCTGGCACAAAGGTCATGTGGATGGTTCTGGGGAAGCGGTGGCCCTCAGCCTTCAGCCTCCTCACGGCCTCCAGGTACCTGAGGGGGAAGGGGTGTGAGCCAGGTGCCTAGGGAGCCACTGGGTGCTGGGGGGGGGAGGGGGCAGGCTGAGCCCCAGGCCTTGGCCCTGCTTGCCAAAGCCTGGCCCTGCCCCATCTCCCCATCCACGCAATGGTCCAGCAACAATTCCTGCCCAACGCCAGGCCAAGCTGCTCCTCGGCCTTGGGGTTCTCCAGTGCCACCCCCGGTTCTGGGTCACTCAGGGCACAGGGGACGGGGGGGAAAGGGGGCACAGAGGGGAAGGGGAGTGAGGACACTCACTGGATGCTCACACACTTCATGTCCTGGGCGCCCCGGGCGTAGATGTAGCCTTCCGCGTCCTTGACGGCCTCAAAGGGGTCGTGACTCCAGTACTCCTGTCAGGGATGGAAGAGACCCCAGGCCCCAAGTTCATCATTAGTCCACTCTGCCCACCGTGGGCCTGTCCGAGGAGCCCACCGGAGGGGTGACGGGTGGGGTGGCGAAGGCGACAGAAGAGGCCTGACGAGGGCAGCAGGCTGCCCCCCCACCTCTGTGACCGCCCTCCACCCCCACCTGCGTGTGGAACAGCTGCTGGACGAGGCTGCTGACGGGCACGATGCCCAGTGAGGTCCGAGCCGGTGCCAGGACCAGCTGTGGGGCTTCCCACCCTCCCCCACACACACCTTGGCGACAGGTACCACATCCGTGTGGGAGTTGAGCAGGAGGGAGGAGAGCTTGGGGTTGGTGCCTGGCCAGGTCAGCACCGTCACCACACGGCCGGGGGCCACCTGGGGAGGACACGGAGGGAAGCTCAGTGCGGAGCGCAGGTGCCCAGGCCACTTCCGCTCCCCACCCGGACCCGGGCTCACCTCCACCTTCTGGCAGCCCAGGCCCAGCTGGCGGGCTCGCTCCTCCAGGAAGGCCACCGCAGCCCCTGCAGGCGGCCATGGAATCTTAGGGCCAGGCTCTCCCCGGACCCGGCCCAGGCAGGGCTTGGGGGCACCTCCAGAGAGGGGAGCAGACCCCAAATGCGCCGCTGCCCCCTCCACACAATCCCTCGTCTGAGGCCCCTGCCTCTGAGAGACCCTGCCCTTCTGCTCCCGGAGGAAGCGGTACTTGGTCCATCAGGGACCCGCTGTGGCCGGCCGGGCGTCTTCCTGAGACGGAGCTGTGAGCAGGGACCAGTCCCCCAGCATCTCCCAGGTGGAAGCCACAGCAGCAACGGGGACCCACGCACAGCTCCCAGCCTCCAAGCCAGACGCCTACGGTTCTGTGGCCTTTGTCCCGCCCCAGCGGACTTCGGGAGACTTCTTCCCAGGGGCAGCCCGGCCTGCCCTCCCCGCCGGCCAGGAGGGAGTGAAGTTGTTCCTGGGCCGGCGCTGGGAGGAACTCCGGAGAGGTGGCCCCGGGAGCGGCCGGAGGGCAGGCGCCTGGGGCCGCGGAGGGGCTCACCGTAGTCGGGCTCGGGCTGCACCGTGCGGATGCGCAGGTACCGACGGAAGAGCGTCACGGACGGGTGCTCGCCCTGGGCGCCCGGGCTGGCCATGGCGCTGCGCCGGGAGCTGCGGGCGGAGAGTGGCGCTACCGTCCGGCCGCCGGGCCAGTGAACCCCGTCTGCGCCCCGCCCCCAGGAGGGCTCCCCGCAGGCCCCCTGGGAGAGCCCCACTGTTGGAGGTGCTGTGTGGCCGCTTTCAGCTCGCGCCCCTGGACGCCGCTGCGGCTCCGGGGGCTCAGGGCGGCGGGGAGCAGCAGTCACGTGTGGACCCAGACCTTCCTGCCCCACACCCCGCCCCCCTCAAACGGTGTCTCCCCAGTCGCTCCGCTTTCCTGCCAGGAGCCACACCCCACCTCCCCCAGGGCCCCCACCTCGCTCTCTGCTGGGCCGGCCGTGCTCGTCTCTCAGCACCGCCCGGGACTGTGGCCGGGACGCCGGGTGCGGGGAGGTCGCAGGCTCGGAACCGCCCCCGCCCACCACGTGGCTGGACCGGGATCGCGGGGCGGGGCCGGAGACTGGGCCCTGTGCACGGGTCTCCGCCCGCCCCGCTCCCAGCCGCCGCCCAGTGAGCCCAGGTGCGGATCACGGATCGCCTTCCAGACCGAGGCCTCCGCGGCCTGCTCCCGCGGGCCGGACTGGGAGCTCCCGCCTGGCCCCGCCCGTCGGCCCCGCCCCGCCCCCAGGACACGCCCCGGGCCCCGCCTCCGGGCCGCGAGTTCCGGGTGGTCCCGCCCCCGGAGGCCCCACCTGCGGCCCCGGGATTGGGCCGGGAGAGAGGGGGCGGGTGCTGACGCGGAAGTCGGGCGCCCCTAGCGCTCAGGGTGCAGCGCTGCAGGGTCCGGGCCGAGTGAACCCTATGCCCCGCCCCTCCTCCCTGGAGAGTCCTGCTGCTCCCCTGGGTGTCTCAGCTCCTGGGGAGGGGCCCCCTGACGGCCTGTCCCCCAGCCCCCGGAGCCTGGTCCACGCACCCGCAGGACACACCCCTGTTGGACAGGCCGGACAGCGGGCCGGATGCGGGGTAAAGGGGCCACAGGGCGAGGTGGCCGCCGTGTGATCCTGTGGCCACTCGAGCTGTCAGAGGGCATGGCCGGGAGGGTGCAGTGTGGCTGTGGTTGGGGCTGGCAAGTCTGAGCGGCCCAGGATGTCCCCGGTGAGGAGGTAACCAGGATGCTGTGACAGTGAGAGGCGGGGACTCACCCTGCGGGTGGCACACCGCCTGCCGCGGGCCAGGCTCCCGGCCTTCTACGCCCGGAGAGGGAGGACAGACACAGGGGCCCCGGCCACCCACAGGCTGCACTCTCACTGCTGCCCTTTGTCCTCTCGGCTTCTGCCCCGTTCCAGGGGCTGTAGGCGTGGGGAGGGGCAGGTGAAGGACTTTACCCTCCGGCCCAGAGGAGGCAGGCTGGGAGGGGAGGGGTGGGGAGCACTGTCCTAGCCCTCCTGGGGGCAAGCCTGAACTGCTGACCCACATAGCCAGGGGCAAGCAGGCTTGGTGGCTCACCAGGCTGCCATGTTCAATGTGAAACCACGCTCCCCGCCCACCCTGGCACCTTCCGCTCCCTTTGGCCACAGCTCCTGCACTTCTCAGGGTTGCCCACCAACCCTGGGGGCCTGCAGCAGGAGGGACCCCGCACCCCAGCACCGCGTGGCCCTCAGCGCCCCTGACCCAGACCCAGACCCAGACCCAGACCCAGACCCATCCAGCCCGAAGGCCGCCTCTGAGCTCGGTGTTACCCTCAGGCCGTTTCACAGGGGAGGACAGAGCGGAGCGGAGAGGGCAGCTGGCTGGGAAGCAGCCCATGTTCTTAGCCTCCCCACCCCCACCCCGCCCCGCAGCAACACCAGGACCCGTCACTCCGGCAGGACAAAGTGCTCTTATTTATTGTGCCTGTGAGATAAATGAGAGGCCGGGCGGCTGAGCCTGGCTCTCCGCCCTCCAATCCCAGCGGCTGCCTCCCGGGCCGGCGGGGGCCGGTCCAGACCCTCGGAGCCGCGGCCAGCTCACGGCAGCTGGTCCAGGAAGGCGAGCAGGGCCCGGTGGAAGTCGCCGGGCTGGTGGAGGTAGCAGGCGTGGCCCGCGTTGCGCAGCTTCACCACGGAGTGCCGGGGCAGGTGGCGCAGCTGCCGCAGGGCCTCCCGCGCCAGGGTGCGGTCCAACTCCCCGTACAGGATGAGCGTGGGGGTCTGCGGGGCGAGGCCAGGCTGTGGTGCTAGGCCTCCCGGGGCCTGGGAGATCCTCCCCAAACACCCATCTTTTCCATCCAGATCGGGGAGGAGGGAAGGTTAGGGTTAGGGTCGTGAGTCCTCCAAGTGAGACAGCCCGGGCCCCATGGGGGAGCCGGGGCGGGGTGGCCTCCCCCGGTACCTTCACGGCCTGGAGCTGCTCCCGCGTGTAGTTGAGGGTGGAGGCGGGCGCGATGGGCACGAAGCCGCGTAGCTGCGGGTGCTCCCGCACCAGGAAGGGAAGCGCGTAGCGGCCGCTCAGCGAGGGGCTCACCAGCACGGCGCCCCGCACCTCCAGCTGCCGCAGCGCGCGCCCCAGCAGCTCCGCCCGCCCCGCCTCCGTGCTCGCCTCCCTGGACGGTGCCGAGTTCCCAAAACCTGGCGTGGCAGAGGCCCCCGCTGAGGGAGGCTGGGGGGCTGGGACTTCCGCCCACTCGCGGGGGAGGGCCGCAGCAGTGGCAGGTGCGGCCCCCCGTCCTATATGCTGTTTATGGTGATGGGGTAAAAGCTTTCACCCATCACACTGGCGAGTCGGAAGCAGACTGGGAACACGCAGTGTTGGGGAGGATGTGGGGGAATGGGCCCTTCCACCGGGGACTGATGGGAGGAAAGAGCCGTGGAGCAGATTTGGAGGGTCAGGAAGTAATTGTCGACATTGAAAAGAGGTGTGTCTGGCCTCGGATAGCCGGTCCGGATTATGACTGAACGCCTCTAAGTCAGAATCCCGCCCAGGCGGAATGATGCGAAAAGAGGTGTGCCCTGCCCTGTCTGGTGCGGCTCAGTGGATGCACATATGTCAAACACAAGGCCCGCGGGCCAAATCCGTCCCGCCAGGCCTTGCAATGTGGCCCACACCACGCTGTCATCACTGCACTCCGCTGCGTTTCCATCACAATGACAGTTTATGACTGCTCAGTAAACCATTCGGCCCACGATTTAGGCTGGATTTTAGATTTTGGCCCCTTCTCTGATTGAGTTCGACACCCCTAGAGAGCATCAGCCTGTGGACTGAGGGGTCCCAGGTTCCATTCCGTCAAGGGCATGTACCTTGGCTGCTGGCACAGCTCCGTGCAGGAGGCAGCTAACCGATGTTTCTCATCTATGTTTCTAACTATGCCTCTCCCTTCTTCTCCGTAAAAAATTAATAAAATACAAACATAAAAAGATGTGTGTCCTTGGTAGCTCTCCCACAGAAAGGATCGCCCTCATGCTCCAGGCAGCAGGGCCAGGGGTGCTTGGGCACCCAAGCATTTCAGCTGAAACTCCAGCTCCAAACCCAGCACAGCCTGTCCCTCCAGCCCCCCCAGCGGAAGAGGAGGTCGCAGTGGCTGGCGGAATCCCAGAGACACGGTGTGGGGGAGGAGACCATGCTGCCAAGGGGTTCACACCCCATCGCCCAGCCCTGCACACTTTTCTTTATGTCTGGACCTGTCCGGAGGGGCCTGGGCCCCTGAGGTGCCCCTCGTACTTGATTTAATCCTCACCCGAGAGAAACACATCGATGGGTTGCCTCCTGCATGTGCCTGGATCAGGGCTCGGGCCGAGGAGGAGCCTGCAACCAAGGTCTGTGCCCTTGACCATGAATCAAACCCGGAACCCTTCAGTCCACAGGCCAACTTTCTATCCACCAAGCCAAACCAGCCAGGCCTTGTTTGATTTTTTTAATGCCAAGAGTGATGGCATAAATCCTTTGTCAGCTTAAAAAAAATTAAAAGCTCTCTAGCTCTCTAGTTTGTCATAAACTGGATTCAGGTGAGGTCTCCCCTGGGCCCAGTGGGTGAGGCCCGTGCCATCTGCTCGGTGATGCGCCGCGATCCACCCAGGGTACAGGGAGGACATGCAGACCTGCCCTCCGCCCTCTGCAACCTGGCGCTGCTCGTCCGGGTACAGGGGCCAGATGCAACCAGCCACCTCCCAGGGCTTTCCTGCCCCCCACGCCCCCTGTGGGGAGCCGCCCTGGGCCGGGGGCTCTCACCTGGGAGGTCCAGGGCCACGGCGCGGTAGCCGCGGTGCGCCAGCAGCAGCAGCGTGCCCAGCTGCTCCCAGGTGCTGGAGCTGAAGGCCTTGCCGTGGAGCAGCACCACCTCCGGCCTGCGGGCGCGAGCGGGGCGGGGGCGGGCGGGGGCTCTGAGGCTTTCTTCCCAGGCCTCTCCCACTGCCCTCCCCGCCCTCAGCACCCCGCTGGAGCTGGGGTCCCCTCAGGCCTCACCCTTCTACTAGACCAGGGGTCAGCACCCACCTTCGTGTCCGGTGGAGTGGGCGCACCTCGCGGTAGAAGATGCGGGAGTTGCCCCGGGTGAGACCGACCAGCATGGTGACATTGGGGTCTCCCGAGAGCCAGGGAGTGGGCTCAGGGGGGCCCGGCAGCCCCACGTACAGGAGCAGCATGAGCAGCAGGCCCAGGCCCAGCAGGGCCGCCTGGGACCGGCTCATGGAGGTCCGTGCCCCCGTCTGGAGGAGGAGGAGAGGAGGCTGAGGCACCGCTTGGACCCCGGGGCTCCATCCGAATCGCCCCTGGAAGCGCCCAGCTGAGGCAAAGCTCAGCTTTGTGGGGGGACGGGGTGAGGCCTCAGAGGGGAAAGGCTGGGGGAGAGGTCCTGCTCAGGACCTGTTTGGAAGGTTCTTTTTATCCCTGTGCAGCTAGTGCTGAACTCGGAATGTGCCGGATAATGGGTGGGACTGGAACTCCAGCCCAGCTGGTGTAAGTGCGCAGGGAGAATCCCGGGAGGAGGAGAAGCTGAGGCATGGGGTGGCGGGGAGCAGGCAGGAGAATGGCGCCGCAATGCAAAGGGCAGCATGGAGGCTGCAGGCATGCATGCCACCCCCACCCCAGCTTCCTGCCAAGTGACTTGCTTCACGGACTCCTCGGCCAGGGTCCTTTGCCAGTGGACAGGCCTCCGGGCCAGGGCCCAGCCAGAGCAGTCAGCCGGCTTCCTGGCCGCGAGTCTTCAGTTTGTAAGTAAAAGTGGGAGGCAGTCCGCCCGGCCCCCAAGCCGCTCCTGTGAGATTTCAGCACACAGGGGACTTGACTGGGGCCGGCCTCCTGTTCCCATTTGCCAGGAAACTCATTGGGAGTCTCCAGCCCCACCCACCTCTCCTGAGATGTCGCCTAAGCACCCCCCCCAGGCCCCCAGGTCAGGGGTGACCCTAGAATTCTGCCGTTGCCTTGGCAACCCAGGAGGCTGGAGCACTGGGCAACTTTCCCTGCCAGGTACAGGCAACCTGATCTGGCTGCTACGACACAGGGCCTGGGCATAGACAGTGACACAGGTGAACATGCGTGTGCACAGGAAAGACACCCTCAAAATCATGCCCAGCATCGGGCACCAGGAAGGCAGATGGACAGACACACAGACACCGTTTCAAAACCACACGCAGTTCCTTCAATGTCAAGAACACCGTCATACACACAGCCCTAGAACTACACACACACACACACACAAACTCAGAAATACACGCAGACACGGCCGGTACACACCCTCCAAATCACACGCTGAAATATACACCCTAGGCATCCACAGACAACGAGCGGGCAGACGGACAGCTTCCAACACAGGCAGACAGTCAGGGACATGCCCCCGACACCGCACACCGACCCCGAGCACCCGCCGCCGCGCCCGCCCCTCCCTCCTCCCGCGCCTCTGCCCGCGCCGCCCGGGCACCGCTGGCCTCCGTCCGGGACGCTCACCGGCGCTGGAGGGACCGGCCCGCAGCCGCCGAGCGGGCCCCGCCCCGCGGGACCGGCAGCCACAGCGCCCGGCGCCCGGCTGCTCCGGCTCCGCAGGCCCCGCCGCCCCGCCCGAGCCGCCGGGCGCGCGTGCGCAGTCGCCGCCGCAGGCCCTGCGCCCCGTGGCCCCGGTGGAGGGGGGGCAGGGGGCGGCGCCCCACATTCCGCGCGGCCCCGCGTCCAGGTTTTCCGGGTTGTTTTAGGCCTGAGAGCCGGGGTAGAGGCACGCAGCCTCTTCCCCCCACCCCGGGGGTCTCCACCCCGTCCCGCCTCCCTCCTAAAGCGGGTTCCTCTTATTCTCCACCCCGTCCCGCCTCCCTCCTAAAGGGGGTTCCTCTTATCCCCCCCCCCCCGGGGTCTCCACCCCGTCCCGCCTCCCTCCTAAAGCGGGTTCCTCTTATCCCCCCCCCCGGGGGTCTCCACCCCGTCCCGCCTCCCTCCTAAAGGGGGTTCCTCTTATCCCCCCCCTGGGGGTCTCCATCCCGTCCCACCTCCCTCCTAAAGCGGGTTCCTCTTATCCCCCCCCCCGGGGGTCTCCACCCCGGCCCGCCTCCCTCCTAAAGCGGGTTCCTCTTATCCCCCCACCCCCGGGGGTCTCCACCCGGTCCCGCCTCCCTCCTAAAGCGGGTTCCTCTTATTCTCCACCCCGTCCCGCCTCCCTCCTAAAGCGGGTTCTTCTTATCCCCCCCCCCCGGGGGTCTCCACCCCGTCCCGCCTCCCTCCTAAAGCGGGTTGCATAAGGGTTGTCTTAGGACGGAGGGACCTGCCCAGCCTCAGAGCGGGGTCAGCGCCATACAAATGCACTGGGTCCCGCTCGCCCTGGGTCCCGCACGCACTGGGTCTGGCCCAGGGCGGCCTCTGGGTGCTTCACTCTCCTGTTACCTTTCCTGTTTTTTGACCTGTGATGGACGTGGGCTCTGGCCCAGGCTCGGGCACAGAGAGGCCTGGCACCGAGAGGACTCTGCACCCTGCGGGGTGGTGACCTCACAGCCCTTCTACAGGCCAGGAAGGGGCTCCGAGGCGTTGGGAAAACAATCAGGGCTGCCTGGCTGGGCACTGGCAGAATCCCGCACTGAATCCTGTCGCGCCCTAGCCGGGTTGGCTCAGTGGATAGCGCGCCAGCCTGTGGGACCCTTTCGGGTTTGACCAAGGCCATGTACCTGGGTTGCAGGCTCCTGCCCGGCCCAGGCCCAGGTCAGGGCATGTGCAGGAGGCGACCAAACACATGGATATTTCTCTCTGTCTTTCCCTTTCTTCCACTAAAAATATGGGAAAATATCCTTGGGTGAGGATAAATAAAACAAAAACAAACTGTCGAGCCTCAACTGCATGCCTGGCGAGCAACTCCGGACGTGGGCGGTGCAGACTGGGGGTGGGAGGAGGAGAGGCGGGCACACTCAGGATGCGGCCCCAAAGGAGCCCCCTCCTGAAGCCGGGCCCTGGGCTTGTGGGCCGGTCGCGGAGGGTCTCAGAAGGCACTCAGTCGGGTGCTCGGGCACGTGGGCCCTGCCGCCGACCGTGGCCACAAGAGGGCGCCCCGCAGCACGACGGGGCACCTCCCAGCTCCCAGCCCCGGCCCCTCCCCGTTCCCCTGCCCGCGCCCCATTCCCTCCAGTCCTCGCTTCCTCCCGCTGAGCGAGCCCACGCAGCTCCAGGTACCGGCCCGCCGTGCCCCAGCCCTCTGTCCCCTCTCCAGTCAGACTGCTCCCCGCTGCTCCCCTTCCCCGCGCGCCCGCCCTGCGGGCAGCACCAGGTCCCCCTCCTCGGAGGGCGCGGGGCGAGCCGTGGCGGCGCCGGGGTCCCCCTGACCGCGGCGTCAGCGCGCCCAGCACCCCGCGCCCCGCGCGGGCGGGAATTCCAAATGCTTTCTCTCCGGAGCGCTGCGGCTTCCGCTTCCAGAAAATGGGTGCTTTTCTCCTGCCCCCACCCCCTCCTCTCCCGCCTGCGGGGCCAAACTGCCACCCTTCACCGTGCGGTGAAGAGGAAGAGGGTGGTGAGCCAAATAGTCAGCTTCTAACTGTGAGCTCGGCCGGCCCGCAGGCTTTCATTTAACCCCGTGGACCACCTGAGTTCAGGAATCACGGGAGCCCCTGTGCGGGGTGCTTTCCAGGGCAGGCACCCTCACTCGCCGATTCTTCTTCTTCAGTCTGCAGCCCCATGCTGAGCAAACCGGTTAGGGGTCTTCTTCTTCTGTTTTTTCCCCCCCCCCATAATATATTTTATTGATTTTTCACAGAGAGGAAGGGAGAGGGATAGAGAGTTAGAAACATCGATCAGCTGCCTCTTGCACACCCCCCACTGGGGATGTGCCCGCAACCAAGGTACATGCCCTTGGCCGGAATCAAACCTGGGACCCTTCAGTCCCCAAGCTGACGCTCTATCCATTGAGCCAAACCGGTTTCGGCTTAACTCGTTAATTCTTGATGTAGGCTTTACTGTCCCATTTTTCAGATGAGGAAACAGAGGCCCAAGGCCATACGATTAAGTGAAGGGCGGAGAGAAATAACACCTTCCTTTTCCTCGCTCCAGAGCTTGTTGCTAGCGTTCTGGGCGCCTGGGGATGAGGGAGGTAGTGGCCTTGCTGCTCTCTGGGGCGGCTTCCCCCGCCGTGGGGTGCCTCCCCCGCCTGTGGCTCACCAGCCCAGTCTCCCCCGCAGGCGCTGCGGGCGGCATGGCGGACGCGGAGCAGCGGGAGGGCACCGTCCAGGTGCAGGGCCAGAGCCTGTTTTTCCGGGAGGCGCGGCCGGGCGCGGGGCAGGCCGCCCGCTTCTCCGTGCTGCTGCTGCACGGGATCCGCTTCTCCTCCGAGACCTGGCAGAAGCTGGGCACGCTGCTCCGGCTGGCGCAGGCGGGCTACCGGGCGGTGGCCATCGACCTGCCAGGTAGGTGCGGGCAGGCTTCTGTTCTGGGGCGGCGGTGGGGACCTGCTTGGGGACCGGGGGCTGGGTTTGGGGGGGACTTGGGCCAGGGCCCAGCGCGCACTGCAGGGACGGAGCCGCCCAGTGCTGGCCGGGATCGGCCTGGACGCTGCCCAGCCGCCCTGGGCGTGGCCCGGGGCAGTGTCTCAGAGCCTGTGTCCTGGGCTGAAATGAGATAACCGGGCTCCTGCGGGGGTGGCGCTGGTGAGAATGAAATGGTGTCCGCGTGACTCCGGGCCAGGACCTGACACAGTAACTGTGCCCAGCCCGTTGGAAGGAACATGTTTTGACAGAAGCACAACCGCAGGCCCCGCCGGAAGCCCTGGGAGTGAGACTGAGTGTCCCGGTGGGTGGCTGAGCCGCTCGGCATGTTCCCTGGAGAAAGCCCTCAGCCGGGTTCAGGAGGAGGCAGGGCAGCCAGACTGGTGGCCCTCACCCCGGGTGCTGACCAGCGGCCCTAACTGCCCGGCTGACCTGCTCCCCTCGCTGGCCTTGACCGGTCTGGCCTCGGTGCCCAAGGGCGGGCCTGCAGGCCCAGGCGGGATTGGTGCTGACAGTGGGTTGGGCTGAGCTTCGAGGCGAAGGTTTTGAGCAAATAATCTTTCTGGGGGAACGGTGGGGCTCACCTGTGGGGAGGGAGGCGAGGGTGCAGAGCCTCACCCTGCCGTCCTGGACAGCTGCCCCCTGAACCCTTAGCTCCATTTCACAACAAACTTAACACGGCAGATCCCTTTTCCCCTTTATTTAAAAAATATATATCTATTTTTTAATTTATTTTCTTACAGAAAGGAGGGGAGAGGGATAGAGAACTAGAAACGATGAGAGAGAAACATCAATTAGCTGCCTCCTGCACACTCCCTACTCGGTATGTGCCCATAACCAAGGTACATGCCCTTGACCGGAATCGAACCTGGGACCCTTCAGTCCGCAGGCTGATGCTCTATCCACTGAGCCACACCGGTCACGGTCCCCTTTCCCCTTTCACAGTGGAGAGGGCTGGGGGACCCTCCCAAGAACACACTGATGGTGGATGGGAAGTTGGAGTTCAGGGCTGGTTCTTTCGGAGCTCTGTGCTGACGAGGGAGGGGCTTCGTGCCGGCCACGGATGGGACGGTCCCAGGTCCCAGCGGCGGCAGCGACAGAAACAGCGGGGTGTGCCGCACAGAGAGACTGACCCAGGAGGGCTTCCTGGAGGAAGGGGCCCTCCCCACCCACCGCGTGCCTCGTGTCTTCCACTGAAACCCCTGCAGGCCTGGGGCACTCCAAGGACGCCACGGCCCCCGCTGCAGTTGGGGAGCTGGTCCCTAGCAGCTTCCTGGCAGCCGTGGTGGACGCCCTGGACCTGGGCGCCCCGGTGGTGATCAGCCCGTCTCTGAGCGGCATGTACTCGCTGCCCCTCCTCACGGCCCCCGGCTCCCCGCTCCGGGGCTACGTGCCCGTGGCCCCCATCTGCACGGACAAGATCAGTGCCGCCGACTACACCAGCGTGAAGGTACCCGGGGGAGGCGCCGTGCCCCTGCCAGAGCCAGGGCCAGTCCCTCGGGGCCTTTCCTCACCTGGGAGGGGGAAGCGGGGCGGGGGAGGGGGGTAAGCTCCTGGGCTTGACTCTGATCCCTGTGCCAAGCCTGTGCCACACTGGACTGGGATAGACACACCCCACACCCCATCCCACTGGGCCCGCTTGCTCTCCCCTCGTTTGGGGTGACCTGGGAGAGACTGAAGGGATGGGGAGGCGGGGGCCGGGGTGGCAGGTCCCGTTGATTTGGCCTCTTCCCTCTCTCCAGACCCCAGCTCTGATTGTCTACGGAGACAAGGACCCCATGGGCCCGACCAGCTTCGAGCACCTGAAGCAGCTGCCCAACCACCGGGTGCTGGTCATGGAGGGGGCGGGGCACCCGTGCTACCTGGACAAACCCGAGGAGTGGCACACGGGGCTGCTGGCCTTCCTGCAGGGCCTGGCCTGAGGCCGCTCTCCTGTCCGCGGCTGCTGGCCTTTCTGGTCCCCCCCGCCCCCCCCCCCCCCCCCCCCCCGCACACACCACACGTGTGTGCCTGTGTGTCTGTCTGGGTGCTGGTTTCCCGGGTCTCTCTGTCTGTCTTCTCCTCTTTCTCTTGCAGCGACACACTGAGGAGGTGAAATGAGAGAAAAAACAATCAGGAATCAATGGACGTGATCTGGTGGAGGGTAACCCATTAGATGCTGTGCTGTGGCTCTCCTGCTCGCTCCTGCTCCTTCCTCTCTCTGCCCAGCCCCCCCCCCCCCCATCCGCCCGAGCTGCCCCGAAGGGCACTCACAGCCATCCCCGCCTGAGGCCACAGAACACACATGCCCATGTGCATGCTCACACGTTCCCAAACGCGCCCCAACCCGATAGGTACAGCTCCTGACGGGCTGCACACTCAGGTGCACACGTGCCCCTTGTGCGCCCGCAGAAGCATTCACATAGGCACGTGCCCCCCCATCCACACAGCACCCCATGTCTGGGCAGGGGGGGATCCAGAGACCGGTCCTTGCAGGACATCCTCTGCCAGGCTTAGGCCCTGAAATCCACTCCCGACCAGAACTGCCCCCAAAGGGAGGACCACCCTTCTGACCCTCAGGTCTCCCCCTTCCCCCTCCCCCAGGCACCCCCCCCCCCCCAGGTGGCTAGGCCTGGGTCTTCTGAGCCAAACCGCTGCTTCCGGCTCCCGGGTGGGGGTGTGGGGCGGAGAGAGGAGGTCCGTGAAATAAAGTGAAGCCATTAGACCCCTCAGACTCTCGCCTCCAGAGCGCCGCCCCTCCCCCGCCCCCTGGGACCGCCACCGCCGCGCCCCTCCCCCGCCGGCGGCCAGATGGTCCCCTGCCCTTTGTCCGCCGGCCAGATGGAGGGGAAGGGAGATTGGATTCCCCTCCCCGCCCCCACGCACCCAGGTGCCAGGAGGCTCAGCCGTGGGGGGAGGGGAGGTCAGTGGGACTGGGCTGAGCCGATTATGGGGGGAGGGGGGATTGGTTCTGGGGGGGAGGGGGAGGGGGAGAGGGGGGTAGACTGGCACTGGGGGAGGGGGAGGGGGGAGGGAGAGGAGAGGGGGCGAAGGAGGGGGTTAGGGGGCCTGGGAACAGCCCAGCCTCTGCCGGCTCCAGCGCATTCCCGCCGGAGTCTCCACTTCGCCGGCCTCCCGGGCCACCCCAGCCCCCAAGGCCCTCCGGGGCGGCTCTGGGGCACCGCGGGCGGGTGCGGTCCCTGGTTCCCAGGCCCCTCCTCCGGCTGCTCGGTAACCGGTCTGGGGGGCGGGGGCCGGGGCGGCTGGGGTGCGGGTCTGGGCGGGGGGTGGGGAGTGGGGACCCGAGAGCCCCGCGCAGGGATGGGTGGCGCCGGCGGGAGAGCAGGACGCGGCCCGCGGCGGGTGCAAGCCACGCGCGCGGGACCGGCCGGAGCGGCATGCGGGGCCGGAGCGGGGGAGGGGGCCGGCGGGCGGAGGAGGGACTCGGGCGGGATCGGGGAGGACGGATGCTGGAGCCGCGCTCCCGGCCTCACCAGCCCGCGCCCCCGCTCCACGCCGGGGCTCCAGGGAGAGGGTCCTCGGGGCTCCGGGGGGAGGGTCCTCGGGGCTCCGGGGGGAGGGTCCTCGGGGCTCCGGGGGGAGGGTCCTCGGGGCTCCGGGGGGAGGGTCCCCGCTCCGGGCCGGGGCTCGGGGCTCCGGGGGGAGGGTCCTCGGGGCTCCGGGGGGAGGGTCCTCGGGGCTCCGGGGGGAGGGTCCCCGCTCCGGGCCGGGGCTCGGGGCTCGGGCTCCCCGGAAGCGGCGGGGCGGGGCGGGGCGGCGCTGGCGGCGGCGGCGCTGTAATCGGATCCGGGCCGGGGGCGGGAGGGGCCCGGCGGCCGGGCGGGGGGGGGGGGCGCGGAGCCGGGCTCCGGCCCGGGCTCGGCGCCTGTCAAACCCCTCATTGTTCGCAGCTGATGTCACTCGCAGTTGTGCGCGGCCGCCGCTGCCGGGGACAATGTGGGACTGAGCGGCCCCGCCGCCGCGCCGCCGCCGGACAGCCCAGCGAGGTAGGGCCGGGCCGGGCGGGGCCGGGCGCCGGTGTGGGGTTCGGCCGGGGCGGGGAGCCCGGCTCCCGGACCCACGAGCCGGGGTCTGGGTTTGGGGGCCTGGGAGCCTGCAAGGAACGGGATCCCTGCCGCTCGCGGGCCCAGGCCTGCACGGACGGGGGCGCTGGTCCGCCGGAGGGGCCCCCAGCACCAGGGAGGAGCCTCCTGCACCGGGACCCCACATGGGAGGCCTCACCCCACCTGCTGTGTCTGTCCTTCCGGCCGGCCCTGGGTTCTGGTTCTGCCCATCCTGGTCTCCACCTGCCGTCCCCCTGCCTTACCCCTGCAGTCCCCTGCGGGCCCCGGCCCCGTGCACACCCTTCCCATCCCGAGTCTTCCCGGGGCCACACGAGGAGGGTGTGGAGGTGACAGTGGGGGCTCCTGGGGTCCCAGGTGCCGGTGACTCTCCAGCCCCTCAGCCCGGACCTGGCTTCTTGGCTGGGGTCCTTGGGGGTGGGGGTGGGGGGCTCTGGCTGCTCACCCCAGTCTGGCCCCGGTGCCTGCCTGGTCAGAGGAGGGAGGTGACCGCCTCCGCGCTCCCCTGTCCCGGGCCCGCCATCTTGGGACCTGTGGCACCCAGTGCCCCACCCGGCTGCACCCCAGGGAGTGGGGCTGGAGGGATGCGTCCAGGGCCAGTGGCCTGCCCAGCTCCCAGGATGTGGGCGGCGGGTCCCCACCCAGCCGGGATGCTCACCTAACGCCGGACCAACAGGGCATGTGTCCCAGGGGCCCTGCTTCCCACAAAGAGCTCCTCCAAGTCCGGACTCCCTGAGAGCTAACCCTCCACCCAGCCGCCCTGTCTCTGGGGGGACCCTCTTTGTCTCAGAGCCGGCACCCGGGACCCCGTACTTCTCCCCTCTGAAGGCCCGGAGCCCTCTCGGTCTCCCAGGCACCCCCACCGGCCCCCACCCCCAGCCTTCATCAGCATGCAGGCCCGGCCGCCCGGACACAAGGGGATTGTTCTGCTCGCATGCTCCGGGCGGGGGGCTGGGAGCCGCGGCCCACACACCCTGGCAGGCCCAGGCCCCCGGGAGGCTCGCTCTGCCCCACCCTGTGTCCCGACAGGCTCTGTCCACCCTCCCCACTCCCATCACTGCCCGCGCCAGCCCCCGGCCCCGTGGCATGGCATGCACACTTCGGGGGGAGAGACCCGAGCTCCCCCTCCAGCCTCGCACACCGGCCCCTTCCTCCCGGGCCTCCGCTCCTCCGTGAGGGCCTTCCCGAGGGGCTGGGCCCCTCCTGGCCTGGGGAGCCCTCCGCCGCACTCAGCGGTCCTTCCGGCCCCCACCGCCCCGTGGGTCCCCAGAAGTCTCAAAGCCCAGGCGAACCCCCAAGCCCAGTGACAGGCCCGGGGAGCCTCCAGACCCAGAGAAACAGCGGACAGGATCTGGGGTGCTGAGGAAGGAGGCCTGGGCGTCCCGTCAGCTGGACCCTGGCTCTCCCGTGACTGGTCCCCATGTCGTCTCTCCCCATCCTACTGCTCCTCTGGTCCCTGATGCCCAGGCCCTGTGAGCCCCGTCTTTCCCCGCACACAGCCCGGCCCTGGCTCCTGCCCTCCGGAGAGACGGAGAGGGGTTCGGGAATGCCCCATTGGGGCTCCCTCGAGCGGTAGACGTACCTGCGGGGCCCAGAGGCCCGGGGGGCCTTGTCTGACGTGGTGGGAAAGCTTCGCGGCGAGGTGGCTTTGGACAGAGCGGGGAGGACGGGCACTTCAAGCCGGGATCATCGCGGGCAGAGGCCGAGGCCCCGAGGTGCTGGGTGTGTCTGCAGCCCAGTGTGGGGGGATGGGATGGAGATGAGACCAGAGAGGTGGGCAGGGGCCTGATGGAGAAGGCCCTTGAGTGCCTGTCCATGGAGCTCAGCCTCGGGCACTGGGGAGCCAAGAATGGTTATGGAGCATCAGCATGACCCAGGCCCCAGGATGGAGAATGGTAGCCAGAGGTCTTTCTCAGTTTGGGTGAGACCGTGAGGGGATGGGGGCCCGTGGGTGGGGCTGTCCCAGGAAACGGTCCTTCTGCTGGAGCCCAGTCCGGACCTGGGCCTGCCTCGTTTTCCCCTGGCCGTGCGGACTCCTGGGGAAGGGCGCAGGGGTGCTTAAGGATGCTCTGAGGAGGCTGTCCCCTGCCTGGCCCAGCCAGGTGGCCTGAGCTTCCCAGACAAGCCTGTAGACCCAGGCCCCTCCGGCAGGCCCCTCCCCCGCCCTCCGGAGAAGTGGGAGAAGTGGCAGAATGGCCACCCTGCGCGGCTGAGCCGAGGGGCACACAGATGCCGGCGGTTCTGGGGAGGCCTGGCAGGCTGGTCAGCAATGGTGAGCGCGAGAAGGCCAAGGGCAGGGGAGTCAGAATCCCCGTGTGCCCCAGGTCCGGCGTCCAGCCCGGCCGCGCCCTGGTCCGCCTGATCCCACGCATTCCCGGGCACCGCCGGGCGTGGCCGCGGCTGCTCCGGAGCCCTGGAGGAGGTAGCTAGGTTAGGCGCCGAGGGTGCTGCGGGGATGTCGGGGGAGGTGAGGTGGGGGTGCACTTGGAGACTAGACCCTCTCTCCCGGCCCAGGTGGGCCTGCCAGCCCCATTGGATCAGATGCTCCGGCCGCAGGGCCCAGGGAATCCCCCGAGGGGTGGGCTGGCCCGAGGCGTGGCCGGCCGGGAGCCCTCCCCTCCCGGATTGTTCTTGCTCCAGAACAAAGCCAGGGTGGACACTTGATCCCTGCCTGTGGGGGGAGCTGGCTAAGCCCCCAGCCCTTTGATTGGGCAGCTGTCATGAGAGAGAGACAGCTGGGGGGGAGGGGCAGGAAGGGGCAGCCACCATCGCTTACACAGCTGTCACCTCCCCCTCGGCCCCCTCCAGCCTGAGTGGCAGGGGGCCAGGGACAGGAGTGGGCGCTGGGACTGGGGAGGGGGCCGGGGAGCAGGAGGGAACCAGAGGTCAGCGCTGCCTAGGCGGGCCGGGCTCTGCCAGGGAGGCTGCTGACGGGAGGGGCCGGCGCCCCCAGAGGTGAGCTGGAGGTCAGTGTGGCAGGAGGCGTGGCTGCCATGTGGGTGGCCCCGCAGGGACCCCGGCCGCCAGGCTGGAGCCGCAGTGCCTCCCGAGAGCCCAGGAGGCAGAGGGGAGCCGGTGCCTGGGGGGCTCCTGGGAGAGTAATGTGGGTGGCCTGTCGGGACCCCTTGTTCTCTCCTGAGACAGGACAGACCTTGGGGGTCCCTCGTAACAGAAAGGACACAGAGACCAGGATCACACACACACACACAGCCAGGTGGGTAAGCAGGGCCAGGCCAGGTGCAGGCCTGGCCAAGGTCACCCCTGTATTTGGGGGGATGGGGCTCCATGCAGCCCTCGGACCCCTGTGTTTCTGGGTCCGAGGCCCCCAACGCCAGGGAGGAGCTTCCTGGGCCTGAGACCCCAGACTGGAGGCCTCACCCCACCTGCTGTGTCTGTCCTGTGGGTTCTGGTTCTGGTTCTGCCCGGATGGTCTGAGGACCTGTCAGGTCTCCATGGTTACCACCCCACAGGAGTTCCTGAGCCTCAGGAGGTTCTGAAGCCTGAGACCATGGCTCCAGACAGTTGTCAGTCCTTCCTAAACACGACCCTCGTCTGCGAGCCAGGCGGGGGCCTCCAAGACCACTCCCCGCCCCGGGAGAGCCCCCTCCAGGACAGGACTCACACTCAGCCAGGGCCCGGGACAGCCCCACTGGCAGGCGGGACCCAACCAGTCCCCTGGGCTCGCCCCGCCGTGCCCGCTCTGTGACCTTGGCATCAGGCTCCCTGTCTGCTCCCGGAATTCATCTCTCCAGCCGACCGGCGTGTTCTGAGCCCCGCGGCCTGGCCCTGGCCCGAGCTCGGGACTCGGGAAGGCGGCAGCCGCGGCGCCTGCTCTGAGGGCCTCCCGGGCTCGGCTGTCCCGGAGGCAGAGACCGGCGTCACCCCACGCGCTTTGGGGGGAAGTGCAGGCGGCCGGGGGAATGTCGGCAAGGGCAGCCAGCGCGAGGCTGGCCAGGATGTCCACGGGGCACTGTCCCTGCGTCCACAGTTGACCTCTAACCTCTGGAGAATCTGTGGGCGAAGTTGGAATGGAGGGAGGAGCCGGTCGGGGGGAGGTCACAGTGACGGTGCTGGGGGGGGACGGGGTCACCCCCATTGTACAGGTGAGACGGGCCTGAGGCTTCTGGAGAGAGCCAGGGAGCCCCCCTTCCTACTCTGTGCCCTGACCCCTACATCAGGACAGGGTGGGGCTGGAGGTCGTGCCCCGAGGCATCTGCAGCGCTCCAGGCGGGGCCCTCTGCTCCTCGCCCTCCTGGGCAGGAGGGTTTGCAGCCTTAGGCTCTGTCTGGGCTCAGACGTGGCACCGTTGGTCCCGGGCCCTGTGATCCTCCTCGGGGCCGGTTCCCCCTGAGCTCTGGCCGGAGACGGCGCTGGAGGAGGGGGATTTCCCGGCAGGATTAAGGCTCGGGATTAAGCCAGGGCTTGCCGAAGGGTCCAGTGGGGAGGGCTGGCGACAGGCTAATCCCGGCGGCTAATCCCAGCTCCCCTTCTCCGTCAGTTCCCAAACTTGACATTCCCCAGCCCCCCAATCCCCTCTCCTACCCACCACCCAGCCCGGAGAGAGTCCCTCCATTCTCCGGGTGAGAAGGTGGAGGCTCGGACTAGGGACTGGTGTCTGGGACAGGGGAACGCGCTCCAGGCAGGGAAGGTGGCCAGCCGCACACTCCCTCCTCAGAACGAGGGAGAGGGCTTGGGAGACCACTGCTTACCCTGACACTCCCCCACCCCGCCCCCAGTGAGCTAGCACAGGCCTCCCTCCCCGCCCCCACGCCTTTGCCAGCAGGGGCAGGCGGGGGTGGGGGGGGAGAGGGCCCTCAGAGCCTTGCTATCTTCGTGTCCACTCTCCTTCCCAGACCCCCACGGCTCCCATGGCTGCTCCCGGCAATCCACCGGGCCCCCTCTTCCCGGAGGCCGGGGAGGGGCCCCCTTTCTCAGCACCCTAGAGGCCCCCCAGTTCCTGTCCGCGGGGGAGGGCAGGCTGCTCATGGAGACCGCTTCGCTCATTTTAATTCTCATAACTCTGGGGGTGGGTCTTGGCTTCCCCTTCTCGGGGGGGGGGGGGGGCTCTGAGGCTCTGAGGCTCAGAGGGTGGGCAAGCTGCCCGGGGTTGCCCCCGAGCACCCCGGTCCGCGGGACATTGGAAGCGCAGGGTCCCCGTCATGTCCTCTCTCTCTGGGAGTTTGGCGAGCCCGCTCTGGGGTCCCCGCACCAGGGCCGGATACCCGGAGAGCTGAGGCCTGTCCCCCCTCTCGCCGTCCCCGCCAGAGCCGGCCAGGCCGCAGCCCCAGGCCCAGGCCGCGGTGGGCCGGGCCCCGCCTGACAGGATGAGCAGCTCGGACGCGGGGCTGGAGGAGGAGCCGGAGCTCAGCATCACGCTCACGCTGCGGATGCTGATGCACGGGAAGGTGAGGGGTCTCTGCTGCCGCTTGGCGGGGGTGGGGGTGGGGGTGGGGGTGGGGCAGGGCTAGGTAGGGCCTGTCCGGCCGATTTGGAGCTCAGGTGTCCTTCCTTCTGTGTGTGTGTGTGGGGGGGGGGGGGGGCAGGTCGGAAGGAGGGGGCACAGGGCTGGCACTGGCACCCCTGACTCCTCTCTGGTCTGTTCGCAGGAGGTGGGCAGCATCATCGGGAAGGTAGGTGCTGGGCTCTGCGGAGTCCCCTCCGCCTGCCCTGCGGCCTCCGTGCGGGAGGGGAGGCAGGTCAGGCTAAGAGCCTCCTCCATCTTTCCCCGCAGAAAGGGGAGACGGTGAAGCGGATCCGGGAGCAGGTGAGGGCGGAGTGCGGGGAGGGGCCGGGCCCTGGTTCGGAGGGGAAGGGGGCCGAGGTCCTGCCTCGGTGGGGTTCCCGGCTGTGCGGGGCCTGGGAGTGGGCGGCGGCCAGGCTGCCCGGCGCCCGTCCTGTGCCTGCAGAGCAGCGCCCGGATCACCATCTCCGAGGGCTCCTGCCCTGAGCGCATCACCACCATCACCGGCTCCACCGCGGCCGTCTTCCACGCCGTCTCCATGATCGCCTTCAAGCTGGACGAGGTGTGGGGCCGGCCGGTGGCGGCACCCTGGCTGCTGGGAGGACCGGGACCCGCAGGGTCCCCCATTCGAGAGGAACTGGGGCGGGCTGCCCTGCAGGGGGAGCAGCAGGGGCCTGCAGAGGGAGGGGGGGGCAGTGGCTTGTAGGGGGGCCAGGGGCTGCGGGGGGCGGGCAGGGGCCTGCAGGGCCCACCCTCCGTCTTCTCGCCCAGGACCTCTGCTCTGCCCCCGCCAACGGGGGGACGGTCTCCAGGCCTCCAGTGACCCTTCGCCTTGTCATCCCCGCCAGCCAGTGTGGCTCCCTGATCGGGAAGGCCGGCACCAAGATCAAGGAGATCCGAGAGGTGGGGGCGGGGGGGGAGAGATCACCCCGAAGTCCCTCCTGCCCCCCCTCGGGCAGCTCTGAGGGCCAGCCCTCCCCTGGCCGGGAGCTGACAGTGGCCCCCTCCCCTCTGTCTGCAGACCACGGGGGCCCAGGTGCAGGTGGCGGGGGACCTGCTCCCCAACTCCACAGAGCGTGCCGTCACCGTGTCCGGGGTGCCCGACGCCATCATCCTGTGTGTGCGCCAGATCTGCGCCGTCATCCTGGAGGTGCTGCCCGGGGCGGGAGAGGGAGCGCGGGGGGGCGGGGGGGGCAGGCGAGGCCGCGGCCACAGGCCAGGACCCCCCAGGACGGCCGGTGCGTGTTCCTGGGGGTTGTGGGGAGGGCCTTGGCACATGGGACCCCTGTGAGGTCAGGGCGGCCTGGCTGGTCCTGACAGCTGCCCCGTCTGTCCTTCCAGTCCCCACCCAAAGGGGCCACCATCCCGTACCACCCCAGCCTCTCCTTAGGCACCGTCCTTCTCTCCGCCAACCAGGTGAGGGGGGCTTGTTGGAAAAGGGGGGGATGGAGGGAGGAATTGGGGGTCCAGGGAGGAGGGGCGGCCCTGACCTGTCCCAGTAACCCCTTCGCCCCGGCCTTCTCCGTCCCCAGGGCTTCTCCGTCCCGAGTCAGTACGGGGCTGTGACCCCAGCGGAGGTGAGTGACCCCAGCCTGAGGCACCCCTTCCCGAAGCAAGCCTCCCCTGACCTCTGCCCCCCTCCCCCGGCGCAGGTCACCAAGCTCCAGCAGCTCTCGGGCCACGCGGTCCCCTTTGCCTCCCCGAGCCTGGTGCCAGGTGAGCAGCCTCAGCCGCACGCGGGGCGGGTCCCCCGGGGCCAGCAGCCCCTGGCGCGGATGTGGGGGGCAGGAAAGGCCCGGAGCCACGCGCACCCCTCTTCTCCCTAGGACTGGATCCTGGCGCGCAGACCAGCTCCCAGGAGTTCTTGGTTCCCAACGACGTGAGCAGGGCCCCGGGCCGGGCGGGTGCGATGGGGCGGGCGGGCCGGCCGGCCGGGGCCTCGGGCAGGCCTGACCTCCTGCCTCCCCGCAGCTCATTGGCTGCGTGATCGGGCGCCAGGGCAGCAAGATCAGCGAGATCCGGCAGATGTCGGGGGCGCACATCAAGATCGGGAACCAGGCGGAGGGCGCCGGCGAGCGGCACGTGACCATCACCGGGTCCCCCGTCTCCATCGCTCTGGCTCAGTACCTCATCACTGCCTGGTGAGTGTGGGGCGGGGGGGGGGGGGGGGGGTTTGTCATAGGTCACAGGTCGGGGGGCTCCCTGCTGAGAAAGGCACAGGTGGGGTGGGGAGAGATGAGCTCCCTGTCTGGGTCCCTCCTCTCCCTCACTCCCTCCACGTTGCCCCATCTTCCCCTCCCCATCCATCCCTGGTCCCCGCTGCTTCCGCACCCGTACGATGTCTTCCCCTCATTCCCTTCTCCCGGCCTTGCCTTCCCGGTCCCCTCTCACCCCACCGTCTCCGTCATCTCCCCGCATCTCCCTCTCTCCAGTCTAGAAACGGCCAAGTCTACCTCTGGGGGGACGCCCAGCGCGGCCCCCGCAGACCTGTCTACCCCCTTCTCGCCGCCCCTGACGGCCCTGCCCACGGCTCCCCCTGGCCTGCTGGGCACGCCCTACGCCATCTCCCTGTCCAACTTCATCGGCCTCAAGCCTGTGCCCTTCCTGGCTCTGCCGCCCGCCTCCCCGGGGCCGCCGCCCGGCCTGGCGGCCTACACTGCCAAGATGGCAGCGGCCAACGGGAGCAAGAAGGCCGAGCGGCAGAAGTTCTCGCCCTACTGAGTGGCTGGGGCCCAGTGCGGGAGCAGGCAGGACCCGCCTGCCTGCGGAGACCCCGCCCGGGGTCCCCATCACCACTAACGCTCAGCAGCATGGATGCACCCTGCCTGGCCCCGCTCTGGGGGAGCCCTCGTGCTCAGAGTGGGTGCAGTTTCTGGCCCAGGGTTCTGGGGGCTGCGCGGTCCCAGCTAGGGGCTCCACCCCCTGCAGCTCTGTGCTTGGGTGCAGGGAGCACCCTTAGTGCTCCCACTTTGGGGGTCACTCATGCACTCCCCATTCCTTAGGGCTTCCCAGCCTACTGCCCCCTTGTGGGGCTCAGGGAGGAGGGCTGGGCGGGGGGGGGCTGGGGGCCACGCTTCTCTCCCCACCTCCCCGCAGGTTCCTGCTGCTTCCACGGATAACCCTTTTGACTGGAATGGACTGGCTGGGCTTGGCAGAGGGCCACCCAAACAGGGGGCTCGGCCAGGCCGCTCGGGGGTCCCCGGGGCGGGGCTGAGTTCTCAGCAGCAGACACTGTACAGTTTTTTCAATCCCTGTTTTTGAATAAATATTCTGAAACCAGGAAGCTGTGAAACACTGGGTGTTGGCAAAACTTCCAGAAAGTGGGTGTGGCTAGCCCCAGAGGACCCCATCTGTGATCCACCAGCCCTAGTTCTGGGACCGCAGGGGGAGGGGGGGCGTGTCCAGCCTCCTGCCTTGAGTACCAGGCGGACCGGGTTTTTAGAGGCAGAGAGAGGAGCTCCGGGGGCTTGTCTGGCCTCTCAGGGCGGCTGTCGGGAGGTCTCTGAGTCTCTGGTTCCTCTTGTTGTGGCCCATCCTTTGGGCTGTGAGCCCCTCGGACCCTGCCCACCTCGCTCCTCCTCTGCCTGAGGAGCAGCCGCCACGCAGAGTTAAGCCAGAACCCAGGTTCCTCGGTCCCAGGAGCCTCTGGGCGCCCAGGCTGCAGGCCCCCTTCCCGGACACAGAAGCAGAGGAACCTGCCCGCGCCAGTGCGGGACGCTGGACGCCTCTGATAACCACCGCCCTCTCCGCCCCAGTTCCGTGCAGGAGTCGGACCCCCTCTCAGGTGGCCTTGGGCACGGGGAGGGTCTCCCCTCGGGCCACGTCCGGTTCTCGATCCGGTTCTGGATCTGGTGCCTCCGAAGGTCCCAGGGCGGGGCCCTCGGGGGGTCCCCGGAGGCGCTGCAGGAGCGCCCGCGGGCGCCAGGCGCGCGGGGTGCAGACCCGCCGGGGCCGGGCCCGGCGCACCAGGCGGCCCAGCGCGCGGCGCAGGGGGCGCTGCAGCAGGCCGTACAGGAAGGGGTGCGCCGCGAAGGCCGAGTAGGCGACCCAGGTGACGGCGCCCTCGGCCCGGGCGGCCTGCGCGGCGGGCGCCAGGCACGCGCAGCCGTAGGGCAGCCAGCAGGCCGCGAACTGGGCGAGCGCCAGCGCGGGCCCCAGGGCGGCCTTGCGGCCGGGCAGCCGGGGCCGCGGCGCGGGAGGCGCGGACAGGCGGCTGTCCAGCGAGGCGGAGCGCGGCCGGGCCCCGCGCGCGGGCGGCGGGGGCCGCAGGGCGGCGCGGCGCGCCACCAGGAAGATGCTGCCGTGGGCGCCGAGCAACAGCAGCGCGGGCACCGCCACGGCCAGCAGCGCCCAGAGCGGCCGGAAGGGCCCGAGGCCGCCGGCCAGCACGGAGCAGCGGGCCGGGGCGGGCGGCGGGCCGGGCGGCGCCCCGAGCAGGGAGAGCGCGCCCAGCAGCGCGGCGGCGGCCCACACGGCCGCGAGCACCAGGCCGGGCGGCGGGCGCGCGCCGGGCCGCAGCGGGTGCACGATGAAGCGGCAGCGCGCCAGCCCCAGCGCCGCCACCCCCAGCGTGCCCGCGGGCAGCAGCGCGGCCGACAGGAAGCGCGCGGCGCGGCAGGACGCGGGGTCCAGGCGCACGCGGCCCAGGCCGGGCGGCGGCGCGGCCAGCAGGCCCAGCGGCATGATGGAGGCGGCCGCCAGCAGGTCCACGATGCACAGGTGCATCAGGTAGAGCGCCTCCTGCAGGCCCGGCGTGCGCAGCACCACCGCCAGCAGCGCGCCGTTGCCCAGCAGGGCTGCTGCCTCCACGATGGCCGCCAGGATCAGCCCCATGGAGCCCGCGACTTCCGTGGCCTGGAGGAGCCCGGTGGTGTTGGCCATCCAGCGCTCCGGCTTCGCCCTGGGTTGGGGATGCAGAGAGCGGAACGGGAGGGCCCCCTCCCTCCCCCGGTTCTTCCCATCCCTCCCCCCACCCCCACCCACCCCGCCTCTTGCTCCGCTGGCCCCTCACCTCATAGGCTGCCCAGGCTCTGGCTCTGCTGCCCAGGCCCCCATCCTCCTGGGGGTTTGGCCAGCCCCATGGAGGGGTGCAAGGCTGGGACTGTGGCTCTCTCCCCTGCCCCAGCGGCTCAGCCCCTGCTGGAGATGGTACTGGCTGTCACTCTGATGCTGCCCTTCACAGACACGGCATTGGCAAGGGAGGGCAGGGCCTGGCACCAGCCCCCTGGGCCTCGCAGCTGCCAGCTGCAGGCTGCAAGCTGGAGGCTGTCAGAGCAGGCAGGAGCTGGAGGCCAGAGCAGGGCGGGGAAGGTGGGAGGCGGGAGGAGCGGGGTCTTTCTCTCTCAGGCTCTGCGGGGGCTCCCCAGCTCTCTGGGGGCAGCCCCCTGCGGGTGGCCCGGGTCCCTGGACAGAGGGACACCATCTCCTCCCACGATCGATCCAGTCTGAGAGCCGCATCTTTGGGGGCCTCACGGTTCCTGTGGATTCTGTTCCTTCCCCGGACCTCCTGCCTCTCGCCTGGGATTCCTAGAGTGGCTTCTGCTCTGCCCACTGGGTCTTCACTGACGCCCGCGCTGCAGTCCACTCTGTACGGAGGCAGAAGCAGGTCCTCCAAGTCCCATCCGGCCGTGGCCCTGCTCCCAGCACTCCGGGAGCTTCCCGTCATCAGAATGACACCCCCTCTCTGACCTCACCCCTCCTGGCCTGCCCCACTCCCGGCCCTAGCAGCCATCTTGGGGGTCCTCTCACGTGTCAGACTGGGTTCCTCCTCAGAACCTGGGCACCCGCTGCCTCCTCCAGCAGACCGCCTCCCTCTGGTCTGTCCACGGCTTGCCCCTTCCTAGCTCAGGCTTCTGCTCGAGAGGGGCCCTCAGCGACTGTCTGTCTCTCCCGAGATCGCTCCCCCTCCTCACCCCCTGCCTTTTGCCCTGCTTTGCTGTCCTTCCTGGCACTTGGCCTACCTGATCCTGAGTTTCTCATCTACCCATAGGTTTGTTTGGAGCTTGTTTTACTGGAATGTTAGTCCTGTGAAAGCAGGGACCTTGTCCGTGTCTTGCTCACGCATGTGCCGTGGGACCCATCACGGGCTCACAGGTGCAGATGTAGGTGGTGGGGACCAGGGCATGGACCCTCGGGTGTGACTCCCTCTCTCTGGGACTTAAAGGGCCCACTCCAGTTCTCCATTGTTCAGACGAGTAAGCTGCTGCCCGGCCAGGGAAGGAGTGTGTCCCCGATCACCCAGCTGAGTTGCACCTGGGAGCCAGTTACCTGCTTCCGGAGCTCAGAGGGAGGCGGCGGTACTGGTCTCCCAGCCCGGTGAGGCTGCAGGCCTGGGCAGCGCTGAGCCGCCGGGGCCCAGGCAGGGCTCGGCAGGCCTGGCAGGAACAGCGCAGAGCAAACGCGCTGGTGACGGCGCTAGGAGGGATGGGGACCCTGGCGGGAGCGTGCCTGCTCCTCCAAAGTCATTCAACTACACTTGCAACTGTTGTGTGACTGTGGCTTTTTATTTTTTATTTTTATTGTTTGAAGCATTACAAATAGGACTGTTGCTCTTTTTTATTTGCCAAAACGAGCACATGAAGGCCCAGCCAGAACCTGGCTCCCTGCAGCAGGCGGGCGGTGAGCAGGGCCAGGGCAGGGCCAGGGGTGACTCCTGAGCGCCCGTCATTGTACAGGTCAGACTTCCGGGAGCTGTGTCGTTGGGGCTACGCTAACGTGCTGGGTACTGACAACAGTAAGTCAGTGAGGATGAGGAGAGGCCCGCCTAAGGGTGCAGATAAGCAGAAACACCTGTGCTTCATCCACGGGTAACCACACGGAGAGGAAACATCAACTAACTAATCCAGGCGACAACCGAAACACCTGTTCCCGCTCCCTGCGCATCCATCCATCCGGAGAAGGGTGAGGAGCGTGAGCGTGCGTGAGCCCCGCTCGGAAAGCGTGTGCTCACACGGCGTGGCACCTGCTCAGGGGCGGGTGGCACGGCGACTGAATCTCCTTTCCGTGTGGGACGGAGCCAACAGTGAGCAGACTGATGTCGAGGGAGCGGAGCAGCGAGTGTGAGCCTGGGCGGGGAGAACCGGAGGACCCTGTGGGGTGGGACTGGAGCCCGAGGAGCAGACACAGCACCGCACCCTCGGATCTGGGCACGGTGACCCCCCGGGTGCTGGCGGGCATCGTTCACATGGCAGAGCTGGGCGCTCGGCGTGTGCTCAGCTGGCGTGGGACGTGCAGACCTGGGACACGCTGATGAGGAGACGGGAGCGGAGCTCGGTGTGCCTGGCCACGTGCGGAGCGGGTGGTCAGGGGCGTGGGGGCTGCAGTGACGGGGGCTGGGCTTTGGGGGGGTCACTGGAGAGGACGGGGCCCAGGCTTGTGCGGCTGCAGCACAGACAGCCGGAGCCCGGGGTGAGCGGACCCAGTGTGTAACGAACCTGCTGCCTGCAGTCCAGCCTCCACTGGCGGCCACACCTCTGGGAGGGACAGGCGGGGCCTGAGTGGACGGCCCGGGCGGCTACGGGGTCTGACCCCTCCTCAGCCTGCGCCCCCTCACTCCTCAGCCCCCAAGAGGCTGCGGCACTGTGTCCCAGGGATGCCAGTCCCTCGCACCCGTCACCTCGGCGGCTGCAGCCAGGCCGGGGCTGTGGGAACGGAGGGAGCGGGGACACCGTCCGGGACACAGAGGGAGGTTTGGGAGCGAGAAGCGGTGACGTGGGCGAGAAGTCTGTCCCGGCAGGGCCGGGTGCGGGGGCGCTCAGAGGCACACCTCCAGCAGGTACCGCAGGCGGCACTGGCTCTCCTGGTAGATGAGGTACTCGCTCTGGGAGAAGGAGGAGCGGCTGAACTCGGGGCAGGGCGTGGGCGGGCCCTGGGGCACTGCCACCCGCCGGCCGTCCAGCTCCAGCTCCGTGTCCTGGGCGGGATCTGCGGGCACAGCAAGGGCCGGGGTGACCCCAGGGTCGCTGGTCCTTGGCCTCAAGGATACATTCCGCCCCATGCACTCCCCTTCGCCACGGGGAATGCCCACACTGCCCGCCCTGCCAACCTCCAGACCACTGCGCAGGCCGGGCCTCCGCCTGACCGTCCCCCTCCATTCCTGTGCCTGGGAGACACCTACTCATCTTTTTAAAAAGTTTTAATGTTTTTATTGATTTCAGAGAGGAAGGGAGAGGGAGAGAGAGAGAGATAGGAACACCAGTGATGACATCATTAATCGGCTGCCTCCTGCACGCCCCCTACTGGGGATTGAGCCCACAACTTGGGCCTGTGCCCTTGACCGGAATTGAACCTGGGACCCTTCAGTCTGCAGCCAATGCTCTATCCACTGGCTAGGGCCACCTGCTCATCTTTTGATGCTCAATGACACCTCCACCTTGAAGCCCTCCTGGATTCCCAGGGACGATTTGTGGGATGACAAAGGGAATGGCCACATGGAGGAAGCCTGCTTCTCCCAGCCCCTTCTCTGCTGCTGCCTCCTCCTGAGAGCACCCTGGGCCCTGGGCTCAGCACCCCCTCCCTCCAGGCCTGCGCAGCCTCTGAGGCCTGGGACTCACCGGGCTCTGTGCGGCCTCGGGCGATGACGCTGTCGAAGCCGGCGGGCGGCTGCTTCAGGCTGGGGTCGTCAGCCATGATGTGGTGCTCCCTTCCCAGGGCCACCTCGCCCAGGAACATGTAGGCGATGCGGTGGGCCCCACACGACATGGTGGTAACTGGGGGACACGGCGGCTCAGCTGGGCAGCTTGTGCTCCTTCCCTCCTTCCTCCCTCCCCCCGCCTCCCTGGGCCCCTCGCTGCTGCTTGGGTACCTCCTCTCGCTGGGCCCAGCGCAAAAGGCTGCCTGCTCCTCCTCCTTAAAACACCCCTCGTGCTGGCCGCGCTCCCTCCCAGCCCCCACTCCTGCCCTCACCTCGGCTGGCCATGGGCACTCAGCGGGCCCAGGGACAGGCGTGGGCCGGGCTTCCCTCCCTGGCCGCTCTGCACTGGCACCCTCACCCTGGCCTGGACCGCCGGCGCCGGCTCCTGCGGCCGCCCCGACTCTTCCTCGGGCTCCTCTGCCTCCTGATCCACCCTGGCCCTGGCCTTGGCCCCGCAGACACCCCAGACCTGCAGCCCCACCCGCCTTGGGCCTGGCTGTCTCAGGGGGAGGTGTGGTCTCAGCAATGGGGCCAGCCTGGCTGAGGAGCCAGTGTGGTGAGGTCCCCCCGAGTGAAGACACCTCTGGATAGAAACTGAGGGCCACTGGAGACCCCTGGGGCCCCTCCCCACAGCTGCTACCCCTCCTGCCAGCCCCTCACGGATCTCCTCCCCGCTCCACCGCCCCCTGCAGCCTCTGGCCTCCGCCACCTCCCCATGGCCACAGCACTGAGGTCCGGCCACATCCGAGTCCAAGGGGCTCCCAGGCCTCGGATAAGCCCCATGATCCTCCGGGCCCCCAGGCCCCACCCACACAGACCTTTGCTCTGAGCTTCGCCATCTGGCCACAGTGGGCGGCCCCACCTGCCCGGGCCTGGTTGGCTCGCTCACCCTCCTGCAGGGCCTTCTCCGGGAAGCGTCCCCAGGTGCCCCTGGACCCCAGGAGGCCGCTGAGTGCTCTGGCCAGTCACAGGTCAGGGGTCCCTCTCCTGGGTCCTCCCCGATTGGGGCCACCCTCTCAGTCCCCGTGCCCGCCCAAGGCTGGGCCGTAGGTGTTCACCGTAGCCGGCCGACTTGCTGTTCTCCGAGGCGAAGTAGATGCCCTTGCCCACGCGGCCGCCGGAATGTGGCATGATGCGCAGCCCGCTGGTGAGGATGGCGGCCACCACGGCCACGTTGGTGCCGTGCCACAGCAGCCTGCGGTTGTCCAGCGTGGAGTGCGCCTGGAACCTGTCTCCCTGGGGGGGCGGGGAACACAGGAGAGCCGTGCCCACCTGCTCCGGCATCTAACTGCGGCCTGGGTCCCCCGGGCACTCACACCCTCATGCCCACGCCCACAAGCCCAGGGCGGGCGGAAACGGCCCCAGAGGCTAAGACGACGCAGGAAGGGACACTTAAGCCGGGACTCTGTCTCCCGGTCTGGGCAGGGAAGGGGGGGCTTCGGGGCTCCCCTCACCTCCCCGTCTCGGTTCACTTTCCAAACGTGCTGCAGCTCCGGGGTCCGGTAGCTGCTGCCGGTCTGCTTCAAGTAGGTGTGGATCACCTGCGGGGAGAGTGGGCGCGGGTGCCAAGGGCCAGAGGCTCAAGCCCTGGAGACACAGGGAGGAAGGCCAAGGCACAGGGCTGTGGGCAGAGGGGAGAGGGCAGAGGTTAGGGTTAGGGTTGCAGTTAGCCCTGCTGCTCCGGGAGGCCCAGCCCACCTTGTACTCGGGTGCCTCTGGGTCCAGCAGCTGGAGCTGGCACTTGAGGAGCTGGTAGTCTCGGTCCAGGGGGTGGGGCACCTCTGGCACCTCCTTCAAATCCTCCTCGGGGGCCGCCTGCAGGGTCTGGGCCAGCTCGATGTCCGCCAGCACCTGCGGGGACGGCACCTCCGGCTCATCACGCGACCTCTCGCCTCTCCTCCCACGGGCCCGGGACCGTCTGTCCACCTGCTCGCCCCCAGCCCTCTGGCCTCTGGCCTGCCCATCCCGTCCATGTCTGCCTGCTGGCACCGGCCCCCCTCCTGTTTGTCTCCCCGCCCCGGCCGCCTCCCCCCCGCCCAGGCCCTGCCTCACCAGCAGCATGTCCTTCTTGGCCCGCAGCAGCTCCAGGGTGGTGATGGGCGGGGGCCGGCTGCGGCCGAAGTTGTGGGGGATGACCGTGTAGAAGTGGGAGGACAGGTCCTCCAGGCTGCGGCCCCCGGCCCCGGGGCCTCTCAGGGCCGCCTCCAGGGCCTCCAGGGCCTCAAAGCCCCGCGCGATCTGCTGCTTGCTCAGCTTCCCCAGCGGCATCTTCTTCACGTCTGGGCGTGGGAGAGCGGGGAGGCTCAGCCCACTGCCACCCCCAGGAGCTGCCACCCCCAGCCCACTGCCACCCCGGCCCTCACCCAGGTTCATGAGGGCCATGGCGTCACTGAACATGTCCTTGCTGAAGATGTTGGTGATGAGCTGCTGCGTGGCTGCGTCCAGGGAGCAGGGCCGCACGCGCTGAGCCAGGACCCTCACAGGGCCTCCGTCCACCTGGGTGCAGACGGACTGCACCTGCCAGGGCCAGGCCGAGGCGAGAGGGCAGGTCTGGCCTGAGCTCGCCCGGCGGGCAGAGGCAGAGCCCGGGGGCTGGGTCTCCCGTGCCCTCCCCCGGCCTTCACCTTCACCACAGCCTCCTGGGCCTCGTCCACGCCCTGCACCTCGATGAGCGTGTACTTGCCGGGGTGGGCCACGAAGTGCTCCCGCTCCGCCCAGCTGTTCTTGGTCTTGTCCCGGAACTTCTTCTCGAAGTCCTTCTTGGCGTCCTCCAGGGACGGGAAGTAGCTGAGCTTGGACTGGCCCACCTCACCCTGCAATCGACAGCCTCAGGGCGTGCACCTGCCGGTCCCCGGAGCCAGGCCCTGTGCTGGGCGCCTGGCAGGGTCGGCATCTGTGGTCTTGGGGCCCGAGTACGCGGTGGGACCTGGGCAGCGGGGCCCGTGCTGAGCCCGGGGAGGCGGGAGCGGGCGGGCACTCACCACGCGGCCCCAGCGGTTCCAGCAGGCGAAGCGCCCGCCGTCCTCCAGCAGCTGGATGATGTAGAACTTGTTGTTGTTGTTCCCGATGTTGGTCTGGTTCAGGGTGCAGTCGTAGTCGGCGTGCACCTGGGCGGGGCAGGGGGGGCACCGGAGGCCCTGGCTGGAGAGGCTTGAGGGGGTCATAGTTCTGCCTCCCGGGGTCTGAGTGGCCATGGCTCCGCTCGGGCAGTGGGGAGGCCCTGGGGCAGGCACTGAGGGACACAGGCTCTGGCCTGGAGGCTCTCAGGGGACACACCCTCCCCCGTGGGCTGGTCTGGGGGGGACACAGGTGAGTGCCTAAGGGGAGGCCTAAGGAGCCAGGGCCTGCCCTGCGGTCCAAAGTGTAGACAGGAGCTCGGCCAGCGTGGCTCAGTGGTTGAGTGTCGACCTATGAACCAGGAGGTCAGGGTTCAAATCCCGGGCGGGGCACAGGCCCAGGTTGTAGGCTCAATCCCCAGTGTGGGGTGTGCAGGAGGCAGCCACTGGTGGTTCTCTCATCATTGATGTTTCTCTCTCTCTCCCTCTCCCTTCCTCTCCGAAATCAGTAAAAACACACTGAGAAGTAAATGAAAAAGGGAGCAGACAGGAGCTCCCCAGGCCTGATGAGATGTGGCCCTGCCGGACCCTTGGGGCCTTGGAGACGTGCCTGGGCAGAGGCAGCCACAGTGGGAGGGGAGAGGTCTGAGTGAGCCTGACCCGGGAGGGCAGGCTCCGGGCCTGGAGGGGCCCCCTTACCTGGGCCCCGGGGCTGCGGCTGAGGGGACAGGAGGCGTCCACGCGAACCGTGCGCTTCTCTGTGGGCGCGGCCTTGAGGGCCTCCGCAGCGGCCCGGAAGCTGTCCTCCTCTGTCCCCTGCCGTCCCTTCTTCTTGTCAGGGCCCTCACCCTGCACAGGGGGCTTGCGCTTGGGAGCCATGGCTGCCTGGGGGCACCGAGAGGGCCTTCAGGCTTCCCTGGCCTTGCACCCCACCCGGCTGGCACAGCACCAACCTGCCCGGCCCTGGGTGTGCCCTTTGGTGAGCTTCCCCTGTCACCTCCACACCTCCCCCCCACCCCTGCCTCCATTCCACAGCCCCAGCCCCAGCCCACAACCCGTTCTCTGCACCCTAACATGCCTTGTCCCTGGTCCCGGGGCCACTTCGGTCAAGGAAGAGAGGCTCCCTCCCCTCTCTGGCTGTCCCGTTTGTCCAGGGCGTAGAGAAAGTGAAAGGCAAGTCTTCCCTCCCACTCATGGGCTCCTCCTCCCTCCAGAGCACTCCAGGCTCTGCCTGCTCCTCCCCCTTCTCAGCTGCCTGAGGCTGGTCTGGGTGCTGAGCTGAGTCACCCAGCTATGGAGGAGAATGGGCAGTGCTGGCCAGGGGGCAGCACCCTTGGGGCCAGATTGGTTTCTCCGGAGCTTGGGACCCAGTGACACAGAAACCCTTCCCAGTGAGGTCAATAGTTCAGGGGTGCCAGCCAGGGTTCCAGTGGTCTTGAGTTGCCAGTGGGCAAGGGCAGCCCCACCCTGCCCTGCCCTGCCCTGCCCTGCCCAGTACTGTGGACCAGGGCCATAGGGCACTCACCTAAGAGAAGCAGGGACCTGGGAGAGATGGTGGTCTCGGGCCCAGTACCAGGACCTCCCAGGGCAGTCCCCGTTCTAGGGGCCCCGTTAGCAACCCTCTGTGAGCCTGAAGTGTGACTTAGGGAGGGACTTCCTGACTGTCGCCAGAGGCGGGGAGAGGCTGGGCTGTGGTGGTGTAGGATTCCAGCTATGTGGTCACCAGGCGGGTGAGTCAGAGGCTGGGTCAGGCCGGCGCGTGCAGTGCAGCCTGTGCCACGAATGGGTGGACACGATCCCGCACTGCCAGGGCCCAGAGGGCTGGCGCGCCCTGAGGGCTGCTCTTTGGGCTCAGGCATGGCACGCGTGCCCACCGGTGCCCAGTGACCTTGGGCCTAGGTGTGGGCACTGCCTACCTTCCTCCTGGGGTGCCTGGATCCCCACCCCTACCCGACCAGTTCCCTAGTGCCAGACTGGTACACCCTGGTCCCCGCCCCTGACGGGGTGGAGTCGCGTTCTGGGACTCGGAACCCTGCATCTCCGGCGCCCCCAAGCGTCCAAGGGGCGAAAACACAGAGAAGGCCCTCCCCCCGTTCGCCCCTCCTTAGATGGCAGCTGAGCAGCAGTGCGCACGCGCATCAGCGTCAGGCCGGAAGAGCCTGGCGCGGCAGCCAATGGGAGTTCTAGGGGGCGTGTCCACAGGCGAGGGCCCTATTGGTGCTTGGGGGCGTGGCAGAGCCTATCAAAGGGCCCAATGGAGCTGTGGGAGGCGGGGCCCGCCGGGCCGTGGGACCAACCAGGACGGGGAGTGTAGCTAGACCGCCGGGTTTCAGCCGCCACGTGAGTGCGCCGGGGCCACTGCCGCACGCCAGGTGGGCAGCATGTCGGCGGCTGCGGGGGCTCGGAAGCGGGGGAAGCCGGCCTCGGGGGCCCGAGCCGGCGCGGGGCCCGGCAAGCGGCGGCGAAAGGTGAGCATGGCGTTTCTGCGGCCCCGGGTCGGACCCCGTCATCCCGCCCCCGTCCCCTCCATCCCCTCCATCCCCTCCCTGCATCCCCTGCATCCCCTGCCCGGCCCTTCTCCTGGGGCCGAAGCTGTTGTCAGCTTCGTCCCTCTCTCCGCCCGCCGAGTCCTGAGCCGGCGGCCTTGCACTGAGCCGGGGGCCCAGGCCTTTCCCGCCCCAGAGCTCTCGGGCCCGGAAGGGCCCTTGGTCAGTGCCGGAGGGGTCAGTGCCGGCGTGGCCGGACCCCTGACCACAGGGAGGATCGTGTGCTTCCCAGGCCGACTCCGCCCGGGACAGGGGCAAGTCCAAGGGCGGCGGCAAGATGAACGAGGAGATCTCCAGCGACTCCGAGGGCGAGAGGTGAGCTCTTCTCTCCGCGCAGCGGAAGGGGCCGCTGAGGCCCAGGCTTAGGCAGACCAGCGGAGGGCTGCCCGGACTCTCTGCTCCTGTGTCCCGGGACCCCCCAGCTCCCTGGAGCGAGTCAGGGGGGCTTGTCTTGTGTGATGTCGGGGCAGCATGGAGGGGAGCAGAGCCGCAGCAGCACGAGGGTGAGCCAGGAGCATGAAGCGTCACTGCCCTCCGGTCCCCAGGTGGACCATGGCGGCGGGGTGGTGCCAGGCCCCGCCTGTCTGCCTCGGGCCTGGCCTGGCTGCTCCCCAAGGCTGGGGTGGTGCGGTGCTCTGGGCTGCCTTGCTCGCCGGGTTGGGTCTCCATCTTTAAAAGGAGGAGAGAGGAGCAGTTCTCTGGCACTTGGGCCATCTGACACAGTCGTTATTGTCACCGAAGGTGTGACGCGTGCAATTCCAGGGGGTAGTGTTTTTCTGCAGGAATTAGTGTGTGGGACGAGTCCGCCCGCTGTCAGGGTTGCTGTTCCAGACCTTTCCCATGACCTGCTTTTCTGGGGCTGCAGAGCCTTCCTGTCCCTGCAGGCGGAGGGCGGCACAGTGCCTCTGGGCTGGCTCTGTTCTCGCTGTCAGGCCCTGTGTCTGTTCTCTTGTTTTCTGCTGGTGTGAGCACTGCCCAGGGCTGGCAGGGATGGGGCAGTGATGGGCAGGGGGAGCAGCCGTCCTAGTGCCAGCGGAGGGGGTGCGCCCCCCTAACGCAGCCCCCGCCTTCAGCCCCGCTCCCAGGAGGACGGAGGAGGAGGAGCAGGAGGAGCTGGAGGAGACCGCGCAGGAGAAGAAGCTGCGCCTGGCCAAGCTCTACCTGGAGCAGCTCCGGCAGCAAGGTGGGCTGAGGGCAGCGCGGGCGGGCCGCCCTGTGGGACTCCTGGGGGGCAGGGGTAGGCGGATCTGATAAGTAGAGGCAGGAGGACACACTGGCCCTGCCTCCCCTGTGCCCGAGGCCGCCTGGACCACCCAGGGGCCAGGCCCAGTGCTGGGGGCCCGGGACAGAGGCGGCGGGGGCACGGGAAGGGAAAGGCAGGTGTGTCTGGCCTGGCTCACTGGTCTGTCTGCCCGACAGAGGACGAGAAGGCCGAGGCCCGCGAGTTTGAGGAGGACCAGGTGGCGGGGCGCCTGAAGGAGGACCTGGTGCGTGCGGGGGCCCCGTGAGGGGCGGGGGGGGGGCTGGGCCGGCTCGGGGCCTCACCGTCCACTCCCTGCAGCTGGAGCAGAGGGGCAGGCTGCAGAAGTCGGTGGCGAAGGAGGTGAGTGGGGGGGCACTTGGGTGTAAGGTGGGAGGGCATCGGGGGTCCCATCTGGGTTAGTGGGCAGACGGCCCCTCTGGGACTCGGGCTGCGGGGTCTTTGCGGGGGACATGGTGGGCTCCCAGCCTGGGTCTGGTTTCCTTCTGGGCGGGGAGCGTGTGTGCGTGTGAGTGCACGCGTGTAGGTGGGTGCCTCCTGCCCCAGTCGCTGCGACAGTCCTGCCCGCCCAGGTCCAGGCCCCGGCCCCGGGCGACATGCGCGTCCTTCGGGGCCACCAGCTCTCCGTCACCTGCTTGGTCATCACCCCCGACGACTCGGCCGTCTTCTCCGCCGCCAAAGACTGCTCCATCATTAAGTGTGAGTGCGGCAGCCCGCCGGGCCCTCCCTCCGCCGGGCGGGGCTGCAGGGCAACCGAAGGCAGCTTTGTTCCCAGAAGCCTCTGGGTGACCGTGGCAGCTTCTGCCCCGGCGTGGGGCTCCTGAGCTCCCTGTCACTCAGTGGAGACGGGGGGGCAGCGGTAGGAGGAGCCATGGGGGTCCCTGCTGCTGGGCCTGGACCCTGTCCCGTCCTCCTGGGTCCCAGCCTCCCCCCCCACAGGAGCAGGGAGGACCATCAGCCCCAAAGCACTTCCCCTCCCTCCTCCTGGGCTGCACGGCTGCCCTTAGGGCTATTGTCCCCACTCAGTGACCTCAGTGCTCAGCCAGGTCTGCCTGAGGCCAGGACTTGTCCCGGGCCCCTGCCGCCTCTCCCAGCCGCCTCTCGCCCGGCGCAGGGAGTGTGGAGAGTGGACGGAAGCTTCACGTGATCCCACGCGCCAAGAAGGGCGCCGAGGGGCAGCTCCCAGGCCACAGCAGCCACGTGCTCTGCATGGCCATCTCCTCCGACGGCAAGTACCTGGTAAGGCCGTGGCCCAGGGCGGCCGGGAGGTCGGGACACAGGGCGCCGGCAGCCACTGTCCTCCTCCCACAGGCCTCGGGCGACCGCAGCAAGCTCATCCTCATCTGGGAGGCCTCGAGCTGCAGGCACCTGCACACCTTCACAGGACACCGCGACGCCGTGTCGGTGAGGGTGGGCCTGGCGGCGGGCCCTCGGGGCACCGGCCTGGGGAGGGGGGTGAGGCTGAGGGAGCCAGAGCCTGCACCTTGGCGCAGCGAGGGGCGTGGCCAGTCACAACGGTGACGGGACAGGAGAGCCAGGGGCCGGAGCTGGCCCAGGGGCCGGAGCGGGGGAGTCTGCTGCTCCGGGCAGGTGCCGGCTGCCGGCTGCAGACCGGGCGCACAGACGTGGCCACCGCGGCCTGGAGCTGGGCCCTGTGCCTCTGCCGCCTGCAGCCCAGCCCTGCCCTCCGTGCCCTCAGGGGCTGGCGTTCCGCAGAGGCACCCACCAGCTCTACAGCACGTCCCACGACCACTCGGTGAAGGTGTGGGACGTGGCGGAGAACTCCTACGTGGAGACGCTGTGAGTGCACGTGTGTGTGTGTGTGTGTGGGGGGGAAGGGGGACGGGGGCCCGGGGCGGTGGCCCATGCTCTGTGCCCTCAGCTTCGGGCACCAGGACGCGGTGGCCGCGCTGGACGCGCTGAGCCGGGAGTGCTGCGTGACGGCGGGCGGCCGGGACGGCACGGTGCGCGTGTGGAAGATCCCCGAGGAGTCCCAGCTCGTCTTCTACGGCCACCAGTGAGGCTGCGGGCACGGGGGCGGGGTCAGCGCCGGGCACGGGACGGGCAGGCCCTCACTGCTCCTTCCGCAGGGGCTCCATCGACAGCATTCAGCTCATCAACGAGGAGCACATGGTGTCGGCCGCAGACGACGGGTAAGAGCTGTCCTGGTGCCTCCCGGGCCCTGCCCCTGGGCCCTCGGTCCTGCCCCTGGGCCCTCGGCCCTGCCCCTGGGCCCTCGGCCCTGCCCCTGGGCCCTCAGCCCTGCCCCTGGGCCCTCGGCCCTGCCCCTGGGCCCTCGGCGAGGAGCCCCTGCCGGGCGGCAGCGTAACGGGGGGCACCGATGGGCGCCGATGCAGACGCCGGGGCGTGCCCAGGCGGCCTGCGCCCGGCCTCACTGTGCCCGTCCCCAGCTCCCTGGCCTTGTGGGGCCTGGCTAAGAAGCGGCCGCTGGCCCTGCGGCGGGAGGCGCACGGGCTGCGCGGGGAGCCGGGCCTGGAGCAGCCTTTCTGGGTGTCGGCGGTGGCCGCCCTGCTCAACACGGACCTGGTGGCCTCCGGTGAGCGGCTGGGGGGGCTGCCCTGTGGGGGTGGGGGCTGGGCTGGCGCGGCACTCACTGTGCCTGTCCCCAGGCTCCCACAGCGGCTGCGTGCGGCTCTGGCGGTGCGGGGAGGGCTTCCGGCAGCTCGACCCTCTCTGCGACATCCCCCTGGTGAGTGGCCTGAGTGCCGGCCGTCTTGGCCGCACCCAAGGTCCCTGGACTGTCTTTCTACCAGGAGGGAGCCTCCTCCGAGCCTGGGCCTGGCGAGACCCCCCCTGCTCCTTCCTCTCCCTCCCTCCTCGCCCTGCCCCTCCCCTCACTCCCCTCCCGGCCCTGGGTGCTGGGTAAAGGCAGGGAGCCCATGGGCACAGTGTGGTGGCCGGCCCTGTGGTGGGCTCTGTGTGGCAGTGCCAGGCTGATGCTAAGCGGGGGTGTGCCCACTTGGGTGCCCGCGGGGAGAGTGGCAGGTCTGTCGGTGACATCTGGAGAAGGGCAGAGCTTCGGTCAAGGCTGATGGCGATGGGGTCTCCAGGCCCTACAGCCAGGGGCCAGGCCCTGGACCACAGTCTCCTGTCCTCACAAAGCTCTGCCTCCCCTCCCGCCCGCCCGGGTGGAGGCTGATGGCGATGGGGTCTCCAGGCCCTACAGCCAGGGGCCAGGCAGGCCCTGGACCACAGTCTCCTGTCCTCACAAAGCTCTGCCTCCGGCTCGGGTGGCGGCGGGTTGGGTGGGGTAGGAGGCGGAGCAGGGGTGGAGGGTCAGCTCCATGCCTCCCTCCGCCATCACTCCCTTCCCAGGTGGGCTTCGTCAACAGCCTCAAGTTCTCCAGCGCCGGGGACTTCCTGGTGGCCGGGGTGGGGCAGGAGCACAGGTAGGGGCACCCCTGGAGGGGGGGGGGGACGGGCTGGCGGCGGGTGGGACCAGGGCGGGGCTGGGCTGCCCGGCCTCAGCTGCTCCCTCCCCGCAGGCTGGGCCGCTGGTGGCGGATCAGAGAGGCTCGGAACTCCGTGTGCATCATCCCCCTGCGGAGGGCCCCGCGGCCCCCGGCCGCCGGCTCCTGACCGTCCCTGTTCAAGCCCCTCCCGCCCCGCCCGGCCCCCTCCGGTATTAAACGTCTCCTCTTTTGGCCTCGTCTCCTGCAGCTTCTTGGCTGGGGGGGAGGGGTGGCAGGGCCTGAGGAGGGCCACCCGCAGTCTGTCTGCCCTGCCGGCTGGGGGCTGCCTGCCCCGCACCCGGAACCTGCGGACAGAGCCCTCGGCGCTCCTGGGCCCGGGCCCGCACACCCTCGGTGACCTCGCTCTGTCCAGGCGAGTGTCAGGCAGGCGGGGTCTGAGAAGTGAAGAAGCCAGGCCTCCTAGCCAGGCTGACGCCCCCTCCGGCCAGACCCTGCGCGTGCTGCCCGGCCCCGGGGCAGGGAGGCGGGTGTCAGGAGTGTCGGCTCAGGCCCTGATGCCACCCAGTGTGGCTGGCAGCTGGAGGTGCAGGCGGCACTGACGTCCCCTCGGGGGGACGAGAAGGAGTTTTGGGGATCCCTTTACAGGGGTGTGTGTGGACTACATGGCTCCCCTGCCTCTCACCTGCCCCTGCCTCAGGCCCCTAGGCTGGGGGGTCTGGCTCAGACTGGGGCCTGAGAACTGAGTTGATCAGGGTGCCGATGGGATTCACTCCCGTGTCTGGCCTCGGATGGAGCTCCTGGATGACAAACCTCCTGAGTGACACGCCAGCAACACGGAGAAGTCCCTGACATGTGAACTGTTTCCCATTGGCATACCCCCAGGGCGTCATTAAAGCGGGCAGTAAATGCCCTTGGCATTGAAATGGCGTAATTTCTCCTCCCGCCTCCGCCGTGGTCAGCTGAGGCTGTCCTGCTGGAGTTGGGCTCGTACTTTTTTTTTCTTCCCTTTAAATATATGTTATTGATTTCAGAGAAGAGAGAGAAAGAAGTAGTGATAGAGGAAATCATTGATCTACCCTGTCTTCGCCGAGTCCAGGGTCACAAAGGAATTCCCATGCTTTTCTTCTATAAGCTTTATTGTTTTAGCTTCGGTTTTCCTTCAAGCCTGAGTTAGATCTTCAATTAATTTGTTTGGGGGGGTCTATATGATATTAGATAAGGGCCAAGATTTTTTTTTCCCATCGAAAAATGCATTTCCTTTCTGCATGGACTTACCTTGCTACATTAAAAAAATCAATAGACAAAATGTGTTTCTGGCTTCTCCATTCTGTCTCATTGATCTGTCTCTTCTTACACACTAAAACCAGTAAACCACTGTCTTGAAATCAGATGATGTAAATCTTTAACTTTGCACTTGTATATCAAGAATTTGTAGCCGAAGCTGGTTTGGCTCAGTGGAAAGAGCGTCGGCCTGAGGACCAAAAGGTCCCAGGTTCGATTCCGGTCAAGGGTATGTACCTTGGTTGCGGGCACATCCCCAGTTGGGGGTGTGCAGGAGGCAGCTGATCGATGATTCTCTCTCATCGATGTTTCTAGCTCTCTATCCCTCTCCCTTCCTCTCTCTGAAAAATCAATAAAATATATATTTTTAAAAATTTGCAGAATGACTGGTCACTGTGATGCCCACTGCAGCCAGCAAACTCGCCAGATTAAGGGGTGGGACCGGAGGCTAACCTCTCAAGGCCCCTCCTCCTGGCTTGCTCTGCCCCTAACCAGCCTCTCCCACCCCAATTGAGGGCAGGGCAGCTGGCAACCCCCTCTCCCTTTGGTCCTTTCGTCTGCTGGCCTCACCTCCAATTGGCCCACAGCCCCTCCCCATAGCCAGCTCTGCCCCTGATTGCCCCTCTCTTACCCCAATAGGGGCCAGGGCCAGCTGTCAACCTCCTGCAGCCCCTCCCCCTGGCTGGCCCTACCCCTGATGGGCCCCCACCACCCTGCTCAGCCCACAGCCCCTTCCCATGTCCGGCCCTGCCCCCAGTCAGCCCCTCCACCCCAATCAGGGGCGGAGCCTTCCAGCCAATTGCCCGAGGCTCCTCTCCCCAGCCAGTCTGGCCCTGATGGGGGCTGAGGGACAGGTCAGCAGGCCAATCACCCTGCCCTGATCCGCCCCGATTGAAGCTGGGCTGGCCAGACCCCACCCGGGCACGAATTTGTGCACTGGGCCTCTAGTATAATTACGTATCTTGATGGTTTTATTTACGTAAATGGGGTCATAATGATTTTCAACTTTTTCACTTACAAATGCATCTTGAGCTCGGCTAGCGTGGCTCAGTGCTTGAGTATCGACCGATGAACCAGGAGGCCATGGTTCGATTCCTGGTCAGGGCACAGGCCCGGGTGGTGGGCTAGATCCCCAGTGGGGAGCCTGCAGGAAGCAGCCCATCAGTGAATCTCATTATTGATGTTTTTATCTCTCCCTCTCCCTCCTCTCCGAAATCAATAAAAGTAAAATGTCTTTTTTATTTATTTATTTTTTAAATATATTTTATTGATTTTTTACAGAGAGGCAGAGAGAGGGATAGAGAGTTAGAAACATCGATGAGAGAGAATCATCGATCAGCTGCCTCTTGCACCCCCCCCACCGGGGATGTGCCCGCAACCAAGGTATGTGCCCTTGACAGGAATCGAACCTGGAACCTTTCAGTCCGCAGGCTGACGCTCTATCCATTGAGCCAAACCAGTTTCGGCTAAAATGTATTTTTTAAAGATGCATCTTGGTCATGCTTCTCATCAGTACATGTAGATCAAGTTCATTGCTTCCTAACAGCCACATAGTATTCTACAGTAGTATGGCTGGACTGTAAACCATTCAATCAGTCCCCCGTTTTACCAACTGGGGATACAGCCAGGGACGGGTATTTCTCACCCTTTACAGCAGATGGGCTGGCCCTCCTGGAGTCTGGCTTTATAGTCCGGGCTTGGCCACTTCCGGCAGAGGAGAAGGGAGAGGCCTGTGTCTCCTCCTCGGAGGGGGCTCAGCATCGGGAGCCGTCCTGGCTCCTGAGTCACAGCTCCCTTGTGACATCACAGGTCCCCCCCCTCTCTTTCCCCAGCCGCGGCTAGAGAGGAACAGACCAGAGGGGATTTGAACCATCTACACCCAACCCATGTGGGGCCCATGGTAAGAGACAGGCGCAGGCTTTTAGGGCGGTCCCCAGGATGAGGGGGCGCCTGACACCCGAGGACGCTGGGAGCCCGGAGCCGGGGCTGGGGTGTGAAGGGAGAACATGCTGATTGCAGGAGGTGGACCAGCTGGAGACCATGGACCAGCGCGCTGAGGACGAGCCTCAGCTGCTGTGGGAGCCGCCGGGCTCACCCCCATCGCCGGCCCTAGGGGAGACGGAGGCGGAGGCTGAGGCGGCGGCGGTGGCGGCGGCGGAGGTAGGCCCCCGCCGGTGCCCTGGGCCTGTGGCCGGTGTCCTGGGCCTGTGGCCGGTGCCCTGGGCCTCTGGCCGGTGCCCTGGGCCTGTGGCCGGTGTTGACCGGGCCCGGCCGGTGTCCTGGGCCTGAGGCCGGTGTCTTGTGGCCCCTGACCTGGGCTGGCCGGTGCCCAGGGCCTGTGGCCCCTGACCTGGGCCTGTGGCCGGTGCCCTGGGCCTGTGGCCGGTGTTGACCGGGCCCGGCCGGTGTCCTGGGCCTGAGGCCGGTGCCCTGGGCCTGTGGCCGGTGCCCTGGGCCTGTGGCCGGTGCCCTGGGCCCAGAGCTGAGGACAGGACAGACTCCCCCCCTCTGTCCTCCCGCCTCTTTTCCAGGCTGACACTGAGGCCGCAGTTGAGGCAGAGGAAGTGGACAAGGCTCCTGAAAAGCCCAGAGAAGTATGGCTCCCCCAGACCCACCGGGCGGGGCTGGGGGCGGGCGGGCTGCGAACGGGCGGCCCACAGCAGAAGCTGGGCCTGCGGAGGGTTGTGGCCTGTGTGCGTGTGCGTGTGCGTGTGTGTGCGTGCGTTTGCTCGCGCGTTAGGAGGAGGTGGGGAGGTGAGGGGGAGGGGGAGGTGGGGAGGGGAGATGGGGAGGTGGGGAGGTGGGGGAGATGGGGAGGTGGGCCTGCAGGCGAGTCAAATTGGGTGTGGCGGGGGGCGAAGGAAACTTTCTTTTTGTTAACCTTCACCGGAGGATGCTTTCCCATGGCTGCTCAGGGCGTGGGAGGGCAGGAGGGATAGAGGGAGAGATGGGGGGAGAGAGAGAGAGAGAGAGAGAGAGAGAGAGAGAGAGAGAGAGAGAGGGAGGGAGATGGGTGTATCACTGGTTGCTTTTAGCACATGCCCCGACCGGGGCAGGGAGCAAATCCACAATCCAGGTACGTGCCCTTGACCGGGAATCGAACCCGTCACCCTTCGGTGCACAGGCCAATGCTCTAACCACTGAGGCCCACTGGCCAGGGCTGGAGGAACACAATACCGTGGCATGCAGGGAAGAGAGCATGTCGTGGACTGGAGTTTGGGTCAAAGACAAAAGGGCAGATTTAGCCAAAGATGCCGCTTCTGCAGGAGGGAGTGGGGCCTGGAGGGAGGGGTCCCGGGTCCCGGGTCCTGGGCAGGTAAACACGGTAACCCTTTGGCCGACAGCGGGTGGTGCTCTTGCCCTCGGCTGGCCGAGATTCACGTAAAACTGGCTCAGTGGATAGTGCGTCAGCCTGTGGACTGAAAGGTCCCGGGTTCGATTCCGGTCAGGGGCATGGACCTTGGTTGCGGGCACATCCCCACTGGAGGATGTGCAGGAGGCAGCTGATCGGTGTTTCTTTCTCATGGATGTTTCTAGCTCTCTATCCCTCTCCCTTCCTCTCTGTAAAAAATCAATAAAATATATATATTTTTAAAAATACTGACCGCCAGGGCAGGTGTGACCCCATTTTATGGATGGGGACCCTGAGGCCCAGCGGTCAGAGTGTCCATTTCCCTTAGCCAGGGAGGGACGGGACTGGACACCTGCTTGGCCTCTGGTCCAGCCAGAGTTTCTGAGGCCGGGAAGGAGGGGTGATTACTCACAGGGAGTCTGGGTCCCTTGGTGGGGAACCCCCGGATTGGGGGGGGCCATGCTCTGAGCGGCCTCTTTTCTTCTTTTCTCGGAAGCTCGCAGCGCCCCCGAGGCGGCCGCCGCCCAGCGACCCGGAGGCGGTGCGGATCCAGGCGTGGTGGCGCGGCATCCTGGTGCGGCGCTCGCTGCTGTTCGCGGCGCTGGGCGCGCTCACCATCCAGCGCTGGTGGAAGCGGGCCCGCCTGCGGGCGCTGGAGGCCCGGCGGCGCGCCACGCTGGAGGCCTTCACCCGCAAGGAGTGGGCGGCCGTGCGGCTGCAGGCCTGGGTCCGCATGTGGCGCACCCGCCTGCGCTACTGCCGCCTGCTGCACGCCGCCCGCATCATCCAGGCCTACTGGCGCTGCCGGGCCTGCGGCGCCCGCGGCTTCATCAAGGGCCACTACCGGGTCTCCGCCAACCAGCTGCACCTGGAGCTGGAGATCGTGCTGGGCTCCGAGCCCTGCATCGTGTCCGAGTGCATCCCCCTCCCAGTAAAGCAGTGACGCGGTCCCTCCGCCCGTCTGTGGGCTCAGGGGAGCTGGCAGGGGCTGCGGTGGGAGGAGAGGGACTTGGCAGACTGGGCTTGGTGGGAGCGTGCCACGCCGGCCAACTCAGAGCATCCATTGTGTTTGGTCTGCGGGGTGCGGGCCCTGAGGCTGTGGGTCACGGAAGCCTCCAGGGTGTTGGGTGGTGGGTGGTCAGGGCAGGGACAGCACGGTTGCCAGGGATCCACCCCCCCAGGTGGAGCTTGGCTCCTGTAGTTAGTTCCCTCTGTCCCCCTTCCCCTCATAGCAGGTATCATGCCCCTCCTGGCTGCTCCAAACCTGCATATGCAAATTAACCTCCATCTTTGTTGGGCTAATTTGCATACTCACTATGATTGGCTGTGGGTGTAGTGTAGTGATGGTTAATTTGCATGTTTCTCTTTTATTAGGTAAGAAGATTGTGTTTTATTGGTTTCAGAGAGGAACGTAGAGGAAGAGAGAGATAGAAACATCAGTGATGAGAGAGAATCATGGGTGGACTGCCTCCTGCATGCCCCCCACTGGGGATGGAGCCCACATCCCAGGCTTGGGCCCTGAATGAGAATCGAATCATGACCTCCTGGTTCACAGGTCGATGCTCAAGCACCGAGCCACATTGGCCGGGCCCCATAGCTTTAAATGCTTTATATTTTCATACATTTTGTCCAATTAAGCCTTTAAAAAATTTTTTTTTAGTTCCACACATCTTTCCACCACAGTCTCACCACATCTTAGCAGCTCCCACTCCAGGGCGCAGCGAGTGAGTGTTTCCTCAGCTTCTCCCACAAACACTGGCACGGGTGTCCTGCGGACGCTGCCGAGCCGGGGGGCCCCTCCTCCCTCCCCAGTTGGCAGCCCTGCCTCGGCCGCGGAGGCTGAGCGCGATTGGCGACATCTGCCGGCGGTTCGGAGCCAGGGCCCGCTCGCAGCCATCCGGCCCGCCTGTAATTGACTATCGATTCCATGCCCAGCGCCGTCCTCGCCTGGAGCCGCTCTCGCACCGATAGGCTCATGGTGTTACGTTTATTTTCCCCGGACACAGGTTTTTTCCCCTTCCAGCGGCCACAATTAAACACGAGTTAATTAACTCTCCACTCGCAAACATCTCTTCTCGCCGGCTAACGGCCGAGCCGATGGAAGCTGCTGGCGGGCTCGCCCACCTTTTATTTGGGAGGACAGGCTGCTGGGAAGAGAGTCCGAGCTCAGCCCGGCCAGCTTCCCCGTCCGGTGCTCCCTAGGGAGCGGGAACCCCAGTCACCGCGGGTGTTGACGCCGCCTAGTCCGCAGGGCTGATTTTTAAAAATATATATATTTTATTGATTTTCCATAAAGAGGAAGGGAGAGGGATAGAGAGCTAGAAACATCGATAAGAGAGAAACGTCGACCAGCCGCCTCCTGCACACCCCCCACTGGGGATGTGCCCGCAACCAATGTACATGCCCTTGACCAAAATCGAACCTGGGACCCTTCAGTCCACAGACCAACGCTCTATCCACTGAGCCAAACCGGTTTTGGCAGGACAGTCCTGATTTTTAACAATTTGTCCTGCATCCTGGGACGTCTGGTCACCTTATCCTCGGGCCAATGGTCTTAGGCCGGGCTGCCTGAAAGTGATTCTGAGATGGGAATTCACACGCGCTCTCGTGAGGAAGCGAGGAGCGCATCATTGGGCAAAGGACGAAGCTGACCCCTCACCCCTGCAGGCAGGGCCCAGCCGAGCCTACAGGAAGCGTGGCAGCCGAATGGCTCCTTCAGACGCCTTCCCAGTTCAGGCGGGGCCTGGCCTTCTGGTCTCCCGCACGCGTTTGCCGGAGCTGCTATAACCGAGCGCCATCCGAGCGTGGCTCAGAGCAGCCGGCTCTGTGGACCAGGAGTCCAGAGGCAAAGTGCTGGGGGGGCCGGCTCCCCGGGGAACCGGCTGGGGGCGGATGTGCTTCCCTCTGGCTCCCGGCGGGGTTTGGCCGTCTCCGGAGTCCTGGCTTCCAGATGCGTCATCCAGGCCCAGCGCCGCCAGGTGTCCTGCAGCCTGGCAGCGTTTGCTGTGCTAGTTTTCAAAGATTCAGGATGGAGGTTTCTCGGATTCTTTTCTTCTCTGCAAACAGTGAGACTCAGAAGCGTCGGACCCTGAGTGAGGCAGGGCTGGGCTCCGGGGCTGACCCGCTGGGAGACCAGGGTCAGCCAGGTGGGGTCTCTGCACTGCCGTTTCCTCAGCTGTGGAGTGCGGGCGTGTCCTTACTCCTGAGATCCTGCCAAGGACGTTAGAACTGGGGACTAGGCGCTGGATGACTGATGTGGGTCTCAGAATGGAAGAAAGGCCTTTTTCTCTTTCTTTCTTCTTTCTTTCTTTCTTTCTTTCTTTCTTTCTTTCTTTCTTTCTTTCTTTCTTTCTTTCTTTCTCTTCTTTCTTTCTTTTCTTTCTTTTTTCTTTCTCTTTCTTTCTTCTTTCTTTCTTCTTTCTTTTCTTTCTTTCTTTCTCTTCTTTCTTTTTTTCTTTCTTTCTTTCTTCTCTTTCTTTCTTCTTTCTTTCTTCTTTCTTTCTTTCTTCTTTCTTTCTTTCTTCTTTCTTTCTTTCTTTCTTTCTTTCTTTCTTCTTTCTTCTTCTTTCTTTCTTCTTCTCTCTCTCTCTCTCTCTCTCTCTCTCTCTCTCTCTCTCTCTCTCTCTCTCTCTCTCTCTCTCTTTCTTCTTTCTTTCTTTTGCTGTAGAGACTTTCACACTATATGAGAAGCACCTGGTAATGACAGCTCACGACTGTTAGCTCCTTGGGTTCAAACAGCCCCTTTGTTCAAACTGAAGGACAAGATGAGCTACTCTCAAGGCTACATTCTTGCATACATACCCTCCTCCCTGCTGGCTTACCACCCAGAGATAATTAGTAGAAAGTTTCCTTCCCCCCTCCTCTCCAAACAGACCTCTTAGGAACTCTTCATAACAATCACTCTAAGAATGTTTTTGCAGGTGCGGGGAAAATACCCATAAGTCACCTCTGAGGATATCTACCCCTGACCAACTAACAAACTTTGCAAAGATAATCCCCCCCCCCCCCCCGCCATGTCTTTTCAATTTCACCCAGCAATGGCAGCAACCCCAACCTCCACCTCCTCTCCTCGTCCAAGGCTTTAAAAGGAAAAGCAGCTCTGCTGGTGTGGTTCAGTGGGTGAGCATCGACCTATGAACCAGGAGGTCATGGTTCGATTCCCGGTCAAGGGCACATGCCTTGGTTGTAGGCTTGATCATCAGTAGGAGGCGGGCAGGATGCAGCCGATCAATGAGTCTCTCATCATTGATGTTTCTCTCTCTCCCTCTCCCTTCATCTCTCTGAATCAATAAAAGTATATTGAAAGCATTTTAAAAGGGAGAGCAGCTTTTTTTGTCCTTTGATTGATTAGCAATGCACTGGCCCTTTCCCTCTGGGGAAAGTAAAAATAAACTTTCTCTCTGGATCTCTCTCTCCCCTACGTGTGCATTCTCCCTCAGCCCGTGTCATGGCCCAAAACCCCGAACAGGTCTCCTAGGGGCCAGGTTTCCTGTGCTGACCTGACTGTCTCAGTACGCAGAGAGCATGCCATTGTCATTCACTACCAGAGGCCCAGTGCACGGAATTTGTGCACAGGTAGGGTCCCTGAGCCTGGCTGGTGATCAGAGCTGATCTGTGGGGCAACCAGTGGGTGGGGTTGTGGGGGGGAGGCCCTGCTGGCACCCATCTTGGCTGGTGGCCTGGTGCTTCCCACTTGCTGGCCCTGGCCAGGGCAGCTCCTGCATTGAGCGCCTGCCCCCTGGTGGTCAGTGTGTGTCATAGCCACCAGACATTCTACCAGGTGTTCGCCATTTGGTCAATTTGCATATTAGGGTTTTATTATATAGGATATCATTGCTTAAATGAATTGAAACTCATGGGATGGCTTCAGTGAGTATCATTACATATACCTTTGTGTCACTGGGTCAGCGTTTGGACGGCCTTTGTAGGCAACACTCTGGCCACTGGGCCAGGAGAGAAAGGACAGCGTCCTAGGTTTTCCTCAAGGGCCCTGGCGCTGAGTCATAGGTGCCCTTATGACATCACGGCTCTCCCCTTTCATCTCTCCTGCCGCCTGAGCTGGGGCCGGAGAAGCACAGGCCTGAGAGGGCTGGGAACATCTAGCCCCTGACCATGGGTAATTCAGGGCAGACCTGCGGCAGTCTGGCCATCCACCCAGGTCCCCAGCGCTTAAGCTTTTGTGGGATCCACCAAGCTTTCTCTGAGGGCGGTGCACTGCCCGTGGTCCCCTGGGTGGGGCTCCCCCCCAAGTCTGAGGGCCTAGGACAGCCCAGGAAGCCGAGTGTGGGGTTGACTTGGCACCCAGTGTGGTGGTGGGGGGGAGAGATAGAAACATCCTATCTAATAAAGAGGGAATATGCAAATTGACCGTCGCACCATCACAAAGATGTGGCGCCCACAGCGAAGGCTGAGTTCCCGTACGAGCCCTAAGGAGCGATCAGCAGGGACCTGAGGCTGTGGTGGCGGTGGGCGGGGCCGGGGACCTGAGCTCACATCCCCCCGCCCCGTGGGGCTTGACTTGGGCCCTCTGGTTTGCCCCCGCAGCCTTAGTTCCTGGGCCCCTCACCCAGCGGGGCTTGATGGGGGACCTCAAGGTGTGCCCCCCTGCCCTGGTGCTGGGCTGGGGAACCTTAGGCCACACCCCACCCCAGCACTGGGAGACCTCAGGCTGTGCCCCCCATGCTGTGGGGCTTGACTGGGGCCCTGAGGCTGTGCCCCTGCCTGGTGGGGCTTGATGGGGATGGGGCTGGTCAGGTCCAGATCTCGCCCAATGGGGGTGGGCCTGCTGGGTTTAGGTCTTGCATGATTTTGAGGCGCCGTGGGTGGGCAGGGACTTGACTCTGGGTCCCGTGACTCACCCCAGAATCTGACAGGAGGCAGATTTTCATATACGTTTTACTAATTTTCTTTCATCTCTGACACTTCCATTATAGAGAAAGGGCAAATAGCTGATATTAAATTATTTCCTCTAATGAATCCCCTTTTTAATGTGCACGAATTTTGTGTACCGGGCCACTAGTCAACGATGAGAATCATTGGCCGGCTGCCTCCTGCAGCTGCACACTGGGGATTAAGTCCTCACACCGGGCCTGTGACCTTGCCTGGAATCAAACCCGGGACCCTTCAGTCCACAGGAGGATGCTCTATCCACTGAGCCACACCATCCAGGGCAGGGTTGTCTGTTGCTAGAGGATCAGGGGGGCTTTCCTGGCGCACCTGAGGGCGGAAACATGGGTTTCCTAAGCGTCCTGTTTTCTTTCCCTACAAGCTGCCTCAGAACCCACCAAGAATGTTAGGATCATATTGACACCCGAGGCAGAGGCACCCAAGGCAGAGGCACCTGGGGGAGAGGAGACATCGCAGGAGGAGACACCCAAGGAACTGACATCTCAGAAAGCGACATCTCGGAAAGCGACATCATCTCCGAAAGCCAAAGCGACGTCTCCGAAGGCGACATCTCGGGCGGTGGCCCCTGGGGAAGGGAGGTCCGAGGCGGCGGCCGTGGCCATCCAGGCCTGGTGGCGGGGCACGCTGGTGCGCCGGACGCTGCTGCTGGCCGCGCTCAGCGCCTGCGTGGTCCAGCGCTGGTGGCGGCGGCTGCAGGCGGGCCGGCTGGCGGAGCGGCGCTGGGCGGCGCTGCGGGAGCATGTGCTGCGGGAGGGCGCGGCGGTGCGGCTGCAGGCCTGGGTCCGCATGTGGCGCGTCCGCCTGCGCTACAGCCGCCTGCTGCACGCCGCCCGCATCATCCAGCTGTACTGGCGCTGGCACAACTGCCACACCCGCGGCGTCATCCAGGGCAACTACGACATCAAGGAGGACCAGCTGAACCTCCACCTCGAAATCTCGCTGGGCTCACAGGTTTGCAAAATACACCAGTCCACGCCTCTCCCAATAAAGCAGACGCAGGACCTGTGACGCCCGTGTCCCCGCTCCGTCAGCTCCGTCAGTTTTGAGGAGGGCGTCCGGCATCTCCTAACGCAGCTCCCGGGCGGCGGTGGGGCAGGTGATGGTGGGGCTGGGGCCCTGGGTGAGGAGGAGGATGGAGGGCCTGGGGCTGGAGGAGCAGGGCTGGGGGTTGATTAGCAATGTCTGCCCTGGGCAGGGCCAACCAGGGACACCCCCTCCCATGGGGTCTGTACCAAGGGCATGTTCAGTCATTTTACAGCCCGTGCCATCTTTTATTTTTTTTTTTTTTAAATACATTTTATTGAGCCGAAACCGGTATGGCTCAATAAAATGTATTAAAAAAATAAATATATTTTATTGATTTTCCACAGAGAGGAAGGGAGAGAGATAGAGAGCTAGAAACATTGATGAGAGAGAAACATCGACCAGCTGCCTCTTACACACCCCCTACCGAGGATGTGCCCGCAACCAACGTACATGCCCCTGACCGGAATCGAACCCGGGACCTTTCAGTCCGAAGACTGACGCTCTACCACTGAGCCAAACCGGTTTCGGCCTGTGCCATCTTTTACTCACCTCCCCACAATCTTTAACGTAGACTCTTTTCTTTTTTAATATATTTTATTGATTTTTTACAGAAAGGAAGGGAGAGGGATAGAGAGCTAGAAACATCCATGAGAGAGAATCATCAACCAGCTTCCTCCTGCACAACCCATACCAGAGATGTGCCTGCAACCAAGGTATATATATATGCCCTTGACCGGAATCAAACCCGGAACCTTTCAGTCCACAGGCCGATGCTCTATCCACTGAGCCAATCCGGTTTCAGCTAACATATACTATTTCTAAGTTGTAGTCAAATATACATAGCATAACATTTACCATTTTAAAAATGTGTTTTACATTGGTTTTTTTAGAGAAGAGAGGGAGGGAGAAGGAGAGAGAAACATCGATGATGAGAGAGAATCACTGATCCGCTGCCTCCTGTGCGCCCCCTACTGGGGACCGAGCCTGCAGCCCAGGCCTGTGCCCTGACCTCCTGGCTCATCGGTGGACGCTCAACCCATGAGCTGCCCAACGTTTACCAGTTTAGCCATTTTAAGCAAACAGCTCGCTGGCATCGGCGGATCCACTTGGTTGTGGACATCAGCAGTGCCATCCATCTCAGGTTATTCGTCCTGCGGCACTGACACTGCATAAACGCCCTTCGTCCCCCCCGCCCCCCAGCTCCCGGCCCCGCCACCACTGGCCTTCTCCCTGGGAGGCCCACGGATTACCACCCACGGATGAGCCAGTGCGTGTCCTTCTGGGACTGACCGTTCCCGCAGCGCAGTGTCTGCACGGCTCATCCCGGTCTGTGCCCGCCTCCCTCCCTGCCTTCCTCGGGCGGCCACGTCCCCTGGTGCAGAGGCCGCTTCCTGCCCACCGTCCCTCCGCGGACGGACACGGCGCTGCCGTCTCCCAGCGTGTGAGTCCGCGCTGCTGCGAGCACGGCCTCGGAGACCTCTGAGACGCCGCGTTAGGTCCTTAGGGGCCGGGGGTGGGGGGTTGGGGGGGCAAACTGCCGTTCGCGAGAGCCACACGCGGCTCTTTGGCCCTGAGCATGGCTCTTCCACAGAATACCACGTGGGGGCGCACACGTACAGTGGGACGGAAACTTCGTGGCCCATGCGCAGAAGTCGGGTTTTGGCGCTCAACTTTCAATCGTCCTGTTGGTATTTGGCTCTGTTGACTAATAAGTTGGCCGATTCACTGCTTAGGGTATATGCCTAGAAGTGGAATGGCTCGGTCAGATAATTCTATTTTTTAAAATATTTTTTTAATTGAATTCAGAGAGGATGGGAGAGAGAGAGAAACATCAATGATGAGAGAGAATCATGGATCGATGCCACCTGCACGCCCCCTACTGGGGAGCCAAGCTCACAACCCAGCCATGTGCCCTGACTGGATCATGACCTCCTGGTTCATAGGTTGACGATGCTCAACCACTGAGCCATGCCTACGTTTAGTTTCATGAGGAACTGGTCTGCCCAATTCCGTGGCTCCTGTGCCACTCTCCATTCTGTTGGGGGATATTTGAAAGGTAAACAGGAAGGAAGAAAGAAAGGAATTCGAGAATGCAGCTCTGGGAAAAGCCATCTGGGCAAGCGTTGAGAATGGCGAGGTGAGAGCCACGCTGCCTGATGGAACGGTTAGTGGCTATGGAGACATAAATGAAATAAAACTAAAAATTCAATTATTTAGCTGTGCTAGTTGTTGCTGTTAATCCTCACCTGAGAGTATTTTCCTATTGAATTTTTTTTAGAGAGAGTGGAAGGGAGGGGGAGAGACAGAGAGAGAAACGTCGGTGTGAGAGAGACACACTGATTGGCTGCCTCCTGCGCCTGCCCTGACCGGGGCTGGGATGGAGCCTGCCACCGAGATACATGCCCTTGGCCCGGACCCGAACCCGGGACCCCTCAGCGTGCAGGCCGACGCTCCGTCCATGGAGCCAGGCACCGGGCACCCTTACGTCCTCCGCCGCCCGCGTGCCCAGGCGCTGCCTGTGGGACGGCACCGATGCCGACACCGCCGCCCACGGAGCTGGGCTGCGGGCGTGCCCGGGGAGGGCGCCCAACGGGAGCGCGCCAGGGTCAGCAGACATGAGGACGGGGAGATGGGGCGGGACATCTCGGCCGATGGTGAGACCACCCAGAAGGGGGAAAGGGCAGGCGTTTGAGGAGGAATCTGCTTGCTGCTCGCCCGCGGGGCGGGAGTCCGGGTGAGGGAGGGCGGGTGCGGAGGAAGGAAAGGCCTCGAACGCCTTTCCTACGAGCGAGCGAGCGAGCGTCGGTTCCCGCCTGCCGCCAGCATGCCCAGTGCCCGCCCCAGAGGCCAGCGCGGCCTTTCCTAGGTTCTCCCGGCGCCAGGCGGACAGGGCGCCCCTCACACCCGGGCGGCAGGGACCGGGCACGGTTTCCGTCGGATGCCCGCGCCGGTAGCGCACACTCCTTGTTGGCTCCGAGCGGGGGCGGGAGGCGGGGCTGGCGGGGCTGTTTTCCGAAGAAAAGGCGGCGGCGGCCGGCGCCCAGCCTCTCCGCCGGGAGTGACCACAAGACAGACGGCCGCTGGGCTCAGACCTTTATGGGGCGGGGCCCCCCGCGCCTCGGGCGCCGGTGACCTCGATGTGGAACTGCAGGTGGGTGGCGGTGGCCACGCAGCGGCCCCGCAGGAGCGCGCAGGTCCGGCAGCTGTGGCTCTGCCAGTGGCACCGGATGACGTAGATGGCGCCGAGCACCTGGGCGTAGCGCCAGCGCACGCGCCACATGCGCACCAGGGCCTGCAGCCGGACCGCCGCCCGCTCCCGGAGGGCGAAGCTCAGCAGCGCCTCCCGCCGCCGCCGCCGCCGCAGCCCCTCCAGCCGCCGCCGCCACCAGCGCTGGATCTGCCAGGCCCGCAGCGCGGCGTGCAGCAGCGCCCGGCGCACCAGCGTGCCCCGCCACCACGCCTGGATCCTCTGGGCCGCCCGCCGGCCTCCGGGCTGGGCAGGGAGCAGAGACCGCTCAGAGGCCGGCCCGCCGCCCAGGATCTGCTGCAAGGCCCGGGTCTCCCCAGTCTCCCCCGTCTCCCCGGTCTCCCCCAGTCTCCCCTCCCCGTCTCCCCTCCTCCCCTCCCCCTCCCCCTCCCCCCTCCCCCTCCCCCTCCCCCTCCCCCTCCCCCTCTCCCTCCCCCGTCTCCCCGGTCTCCCCCGGTCTCCCCTCCCCGTCTCCCCTCCTTCCCTCCCCCTCCCCTCCCCCTCCCCCCTCCCCCTCTCCCTCTCCCTCCCTCCGGCTCCCTCTCCTTCTCTCTCCCTCTCTCTTTCTCTCTCTCCCTCTCTCTTTCTCTCTCTCCCTCTCTCAATGTATTTTTGATTGCAGAGAGGAAGGGAGAGGGAGGAGCAATGATGAGAAAGAATTACTGACCGGCTGCCTCCTACACACCCCCCACGGGGGCCGAGCCCACCACCGGCCGTGGGCCATGATGGGGAACTGAGCCCTGCTCTGCTGGTGCTGAGCCACGGCCTCCTGGTCCACAGGCCTGTGCTCCAGCCCTGAGCCAGCCGGCCGGGCTCCCCATTCACGCTTCCCGTCACGGTCAGACTCAGACCCTCGGCCCACGCTGCGCAGGGAGCCGGGGAGGAGCCAGGCCCGCGGCCGCGGGGGGTACCCACCGGCCAGGGGGACGGCGGCTTCGGCGGCTCCTCCTCTTCTGCCGGTAACAGTATGTACTCGATGACTTCCTCGTCCACGACTTGGATGTAGATGGGGTGGCCATGTTTCTGTCCTCAGAATGGAAGGGGAGAAGCCCATGGACGCGTCAGACGCGGCTTCTCTCGGGCCTCCGCTGCCTCCACCCCTCTTTCCCCGAGATCGCTCCGTCCGGCGGTTCCCCCACGCGGCCCCCGAGGCCCGGCAGCGCCTCTTACACAGAAATAGAGTGTCATGGGGCCTGCAGATGGTTCGCTGGCTTTGGTCTCCCTGTCCCCGCGCCTGCTGGGTCCTGCGAGGGGAGGGCCATGAGCTCACAATGCCATTGTGACAAGGGGGGCAGGACCCCTGCCCTGCAGTGTGCCTTCCGCAGAGCCAGCCCCGTCTGCTTCCCGACACCTGGCCCGGGGCCGCGAACAGGGCGCCTGCGGGCCCCCCCGGGCCCCCCCCCCGGGCCCCCTCCGGGGCCACTGATGGCCTTCCCGTGGCCACTGCGCCTGCTTCCCCCTGGGCGCCGGTGTGTGTGTGTGTGTGTGTGTGTGTGTGTGTGTGTGTGTGTGGCTCTGACGATGCCCTGAGAGGACCAGTGGTTTTGTCATTTGCGGGAACCACGCCTCGGGGCCCCCCTTTCCAGCCGGGGGGTCCGCAGAGCCGGGGTCCGCAGAGCCGGAAGCACAGCAGCGTCTGTCTGTCTCCGCCGGTCGGCACACCGCGGCTCGCGAGCCACCTGCGGCTCTCTGGCCCCTGGAGTGCGGCTCTTCCACAAAACACCACGGCCTGGGCGTGTCTGTGTGGAAGAAGTGGCGTGAGAAGAGTTTTTTTTTTTTTTAATTTTTAAAAAATTTTAAACATACATTTTATTGATTTTTTTACAGAGAGGAAGGGAGAGGGACAGAGAGCTAGAAACATCGATGAGAGAGAAACATCGACCAGCTGCTTCCTGCACACCCCGCACTGGGGATGTGCCCGCAACCAAGGTCCATGCCCTTGACCGGAATCGAACCCGGGACCCTTGAGTCCGCAGCCTGACCCTCTATCCACTGAGCCAAATCTGTTTCGGCAAAAAGAAGTTTAAGTTTAAAAAGTGTGGCTCTCCAGAGACATGTCCATCGCTGTCCTGTTGGTACTGGGCTCGGTGACGAGTGAGGTTGCTGACCACTGGCCGGGCGTGTGGGGGTCCAGGAGGGCGAGCGGCAGGAAGCAGGAGCGAGGGAGCCGGCGAGCCGGGGGCCAGCGCCGCACACCCAGGGGCCGAGGCCCCGCGCCCCGCGCCGCGGGCCTGCGTCTCCCGGTCAGGAGCCCGCGGTTCCGGGCGCTCACAGCGGCCACGCCCGTCCTGGCCAATGACCTGTGCCCAGGTGTGACTGACACCACATACCTTCCCCACAGCACCCCAGCTCCACGGGGCCCGGGGCTGGTCTCCTCCCTAACGCCCCCTCCCCGCCCCCTGATCCGTGATCTGCGGGAACAGACCGGCGCTCCCGGGAGCGGACAGCGCCGGCCTCCGTGGAGCTGCCCACATGACGGGCCCGTGGCCGTGGGCCTCCCTGGCTCCCTTCCCGTTCTCACCACCAGGCCGGGACCACGGGACCCAGCCACGGGAGCGGGAGGGCCGCGGCCGTGGTATCTCCAGACACGCCCAGTGTCTTCTCAGACCTGGCACTTCCTGTCCGCCCCCGATGCGGGTTTCAGCCCCCCAGGACCCTGTAGGAAACAGAGACCAGATGAATCTAGAAAACAGTAAACCAGAGAAGGCTATTGAAGATCCACCCTGAATAAGGCTCTCTGCCACACCCAGGCAGATTCCTATCTAAAGGGTTAAAGATTTACCCATTCAGATATTTCCAATGTGACAAACTATTCAACGCTATTATTAATGACTGGAGGCCCAGTGCACCGATTGGTGAACCGGCGGGGTCTGTTGGCCTGGGTGTGGCTACTGGAGGTTGGCCAGCCGGGGGAGGAACTGCGCGAGGGCTCCAGGGCGTGTCCAGCCCATTTCACTCAGTCCCGATGAGCAACAAGCTAACCTACCAGTAGGAGTGCCTGCCCCCTGGTGGTCAGTGGGCATCATAGCGACTGGTTGACAAGTCGAATGGTCGAATGGTCAGACACTTAGCATATTAGGCTTTTATATAGAGAGACAGACATTTACACCTGTCTGCTGTGGCTCGGGTTGAACATCAACCTATGAACTAGGAGGTCACGGGTGGTTCCCAGTCAGGGCACATGCCTGGGTTATGGGCTTGATTCCCAGGAGGGGGCATGCAGGAGGCAGTGGGTCAATGGTTCTCTCTCTCAGTGATGATTCTCTCTCTTTCTGAAACCAATAAAAAAAATATTTTTAAAAGATAGACATTTCTGTCGGTGCTTCCCCATGTCAGTGCTAGTCTCGCCAGGATCATGACTAAGGGCATTGACCTTGAGAAAGGCGGCCGTCATGACGCTGCGCCCTTCTAAGAGTGTGGACTATGGACAGAAAACTTTTCATCGGCTCATGAAACTGGACCCGACAAGCTCAGGGAAGGCCTGCGTGGTGGTCTTGAGAACTCTAAGGACTAAAGGAACCACAAAGGATGGTCTGAAATGAAAACTTTCACCCAAAGCAGTGATGGTGGGCAGTCACCTCCTAGGCCGGTATCTTCCCTGACAAGGTCAATCTTGACCTTCACTGAGCCCGTCTGTCTTTTTGGATCTATGACAACACTAGAGGCCCGGTGCCTGAAATTCATGCACTGGGGAGGGGGAGGGGTCTTTCAGCCCGGCCTGCACCCCCTTGCAGTCCGGGACACCTTGAGCACTGACCACCAGGGGGCAGCACCTACATTGAGTGTCTGCCCCCCAGTGGTCAGTGTGCATCACAGCAACTGGCCGTTCCACCCTTTGGGCGATTTGCATATCAGGCTTTTATTATATAGGATATCCTAGAACTGTCAGGGTTACTGGTAACTTCCCCTTTTTTTCTGTTCCCTTCCACTCACCCCCTGCCCCATGCCAGGCCTTCCCCAAGCTGTTTTCCGTGCCCATGGGTTATGCACGTAGGCATGTACGACCTTTGGTTAATCTCTCCCCTCCACACACCCCCCTTCCCCCGCCCCCTGAGATCCGTCCCTCTGCTCCATGCACCCAGGCCTCTGGACCCGGCTTTTGCTCATCGGGTTAGTGTGTTCATTGCATTCCACACGCAAATGAGATCCTGTGATATCTCGCGAGCACAATGGTTTCCATGTCCACCCACGCTGTCGCCAAGGGCGAGAGAGAGATGCTGGGACCCGGGGGTGGAGCAGACCTGGTCAGTTCTTTATTGGGAAGGGGATCCACTCTGTAATCCGGCAAATCTGTGACCCCAGGAAGATCTCCAGTTCCAGCTCCAGCTGGTTGGCCGTGAGCTCGTACCGGCCCTGGAAGAAGCCGGTGGTCTGGCAGCTGTGGCAGCGCCAGTAGGCCTGGATGATGCGGGCGGCCTGCAGCAGGCGGCAGTAGCGCAGGCGGACGCACCACATGCGGACCCAGGCCTGCAGCCGCACGGCCGCCCACCTCTGCCGGGCGTAGGCCTCCAGCGCCGCCCAGCGCCGCGCCTCCAGCTGCCGCGCCTGCAGCCGCCGCCACCAGCGCTGGACCACGCAGGCGCTGAGCGCGGCCAGCAGCAGCGTCCGGCGCACCAGCGTGCCCCGCCACCAGGCCTGGATCTGCTTGGCTCTCTGGTCTTGACCAAAGGGCTGGGAAGGACAAGGAAGGGTCACTCGGGACCCGTTCCCCACCCACCTCAGCCCGGGGGCACGCGCCTGCCCACACGCCCACACCCTGTGGGACATGGGCTCCCCTTCACCTGGCCATGCCTCCCCCCGCACAGCCCTCCCCACTCTGCTCCCTGCCAGGTCTCTCCTCCCTGCAGCGACTCTCCGGGTCTCTCTCAGCCCCCCTTTCTCAGCCCTCCTTTCTCAGCCCCCCCTTTCTCAGCCCCTCCTTTCTCAGCCCCCCCTTTCTCAGCCCCCCCTTTCTGAACCCCCCCATTCTCAGCTCCCCCTTTCTCAGACCCCCTTTCTCAGACCCCCTTTCTCAGCCCCCCCTTTCTCAGCCCCCCCTTTCTAAACCCCCCCATTCTCAGCTCCCCCTTTCTCAGCCCTCCTTTCTCAGCCCCCCTTTCTCAGCCCCCCAGGCGCCAGGAGGAGGGGAGCCAGGGCCCGTTCGCTCTGGGTGGGCCGAGGCCGCGGGGCCGGCCTCCTCGGTGTGTGGCGTCCCTGAGGACCGCCCCAGCGCAGGGCAGCCTGGTTGGGGACCAGTGCCCGAGCCCCCCATGCTGTGGCCTCAGAGAGGACGTCCCATCGCGGCCGGGCGACTGGGCGAGACGGGGTGCGGGCGGGGTCCCAGTCACCCTCACGCTGAGGTCCCCACGGACCTACCTTTGCTCTGCTGGATGGGGTCAGAGGGCCCTCTTCCTTCCTTCCTTTTTCTTGCTCATTTTTCCTTTGCTTGAGTTTTTCAAGGTACTTCCTCACCTCTGAGTCCACGTTGTCTCCCTGGAACTAGAGTCAGAGGAGAGAGGGGTGGCAGGCGGGTCTCCGCAGGCCGTGTGCCTGGATCACCACCACCGCCGCCCCCCCCCGGGCCTGGCCCAGACCCTCGATGCTGGGGGGGCTTCCTGAGCCCCCCGGAGGCCTCTCCCCGGCCGGCACCGAGGGGACCGACTGTTCTTTTTCTTTTTTTTTAATGTGTGTTATTGATTTTTCACAGTGAGGAAGGGAGAGGGATAGAGTTAGAAACATCGATGAGAGAGAAACATCGATCAGCTGCCTCCCGCACACCTCCTACTGGGGTTGTACCCGCAACCAAGGTACAGGCCCTTGACCGGAATCGAACCCAGGACCCTGGAGTCTGCAGGCCGACGCTCTATCCACTGAGCCACACTGGCCAGGGCCGAACCCGAAAACTTGACTGGCTAGCACCCGGTCATTATTCAGTGCAGCTGGTCCCGACCTCAGCAGCGCCTGGTTTTTGCTGCCTTTCTGGCCTGGAGCTGGAATCCCACTGAGGCCTAGATGTTCTCTGGAGGGAGAAAAGGCCAGAGAGCCCAAAGCACTGCCCAGCGGCCTGCGAGGGGGCAGAGGCCACCCTGGGGCAAGGTCCCACCTACGGCTGCTGGTCCATTGCCTGTGCTTGTTTCTGTGCCTGTGGGTTAACACACCTCTGAAATGTGTGTGTCTCCCCCTCCTTTTTTCTCTCTAAAATAAAAATAAATAAATAAAATAAAACAAAAACAAAAAACACAGCCCCCAGCACCACCAGGATAGAGCGTCGGCCTGTGGACTGAAAGGTCCCGCGTTCGATTCCGGTCGGGGGCATGTACCTTGGTTGCGGGCACGTCCCCGGTGGGGGGTGTGCAGGAGGCAGCTGGTCGATGTTTCTCTCTCATCTATGTTTCTAGCTCTCTATCCCTCTCCCTTCCTCTCTGTAAAAAAAAAAAAAAATCAATAAAATATACTTAAAAAAAATAAAAAGAGCCTAAGTCTAAACACATGAATAGAAAAAAACATTAAAAAAGAATGTTCTTAAAACAAACAAACAAACAAACACGCAGAAACAAACAAAACGCCCCTGCAAACTTTGGGCTCCAACCAGCCGGCCGCACGGCCAGGGCAGCTCTGAAGCTGACCGGGTTCGGCCAGGTGGAGGGGCCGTGGTGGTGACATGGCGAGGGGACGCGCAGCAGACGGTGACTCCACGCCGGGGACCGGGGCGGAGGGGGATGCGTGACGGGCAGTGGAACACGGGCGAGGCCAATTCGTCCCAGTGAGGACCGGAGAGAGGGCTGCATCGGCGCATGAGAATCAGCGGCAGACAATAGGGTGGCCGGAAGGGGTCAGTGGGGGAAAGGAGACCTATGTACCACTTTCAACACTAAAGATTTACAAATAAATAAAAAGTAACAACACACATTAAGAAAAAGTTTTTATTGGTTTGAGAGAGAGAGGGAGAGAGACGAACATCGATTGGCTGCCTCCTGCACACTCCCTGTGGGGGATGGAGCCTGCCAGTCGGGCACGGGCCGGACAGAACCGAGCCGGCGCCTCTGGTGCCTGGGACGACGCCCCGCTTCCGAGCCAGGCCGGCAGGGCCCAGGGGCTTCCCTCAGTGATTTCTGTGGTTTGGGGGGAGAATTGGCCCGCGATGGCCGGACGTTTTAAGGAAATGGCCCTTCCCCACAGACAGCCCACAGGAGTGGAGGCTGAGGTAGGACAGAGTCAAGATTGCCGGTGGCCAGAGACAGGGCCTCCCTGCGATGTGACTATCCCTAAGACGATGTCCTGCCCAGTTCGGGCAGCCCTGTCTGTGCGCAGAGCCCCGAGAATCTGGCCCTCAGGAGGGAGGGGGAGGCGGAGCCAACCTGCTTCCCAGCAGGGTCCCCACTGCTTCCGGAGGAGAGAGAGGCCTGGGAGCCTGGGCCGGAGGGCCGGCCACGTGCCAGCCTGCCGCCCGGCGCGACGGAGAGCCGGTGCCTGCGAGCCGGAGCCCCTGCCGACGGCAGGATGACGTGCAGCGGGACCACCGACGCGCTCCCAGGAGGTGCCCAGGCTTCAGGGTCCCAGAGCCCCGCCCCGCCCTGGGCCACGGCCAGGAGAGCAGCCGCTGGTGCCGGGTCCGGGAGGGGGCCTGGCGCCGTGGGCTCCCGAGGCGTGGGCGGCACCGAGACACACGGGCCCGGTCAGACGTTTATTGGGGCCACAGAGCCACCTACACAGTTAGGATCTCCACACAGAACTGCAGGTCTTTGTTGGCGCCCATGCGCCCCACCGGTGGGGCCTGTGGGTCCTGGGGAGCCCGTGGACCCTGGGGAGCCCGTGGGCCCTGGGGAGCCTCTGGGTCCTGGGGAGCCTCTGGGCCCTGGGGAGCCTCTGGGCCCTGGGGAGCCTCTGGGCCCTGGGGAGCCTCTGGGTCCTGGGGAGCCAGGGGGTCCTGGATCTGCAGGTGGAAGCAGCTCTCGGGGTCCGCGGAGAGGCAGATGGCGCGGCGCGTCCGGCAGTAGCCGCGCTGGCACTGCCACATGCGGAACCAGGACTGCAGCCGCACGGCGCCCAGCTCCTCCAGGGCGTAGACGTGCACCAGCCGGCGCCGCAGCCCCCAGCGCCGCCAGCACAGCCGCCGCCGCCACCACAGCTGCAGGAGCCAGGCCCGCAGTGCGGCCGCCAGCAGCGTCCGGCGCACCAGCGTGCCGCGCCACCAGGCCTGGAGGCGGATGCTGGCCTCCCGCCGCCGCTTCAGCTCCGGGGGCTCCTGCCCGGCAGAGCGGGGCCCGTCACCGCCACCGCCCGCCGGCGCCAGGCTCGGGCCCGGCCGCTCGCCGCGCTGCGCCTGCCCACCCTGCCCGCGCTCGGAGCGGCCGCTGCGTCCTCCCGGTCAGCGGGGCGCTCGCCCCGGGCCCCCGGCTCCGCGGGGCCCGGGGGACACTCTCCGGCCGGAAGCCGGCCCCACAGCGTCCCCTCGAGGGTGAAGCACTGCATCCTCGCCCGCGAGGCCGCCGGACGCCCCTCCCCGGCCCCCGCCTCCCTCCCCCGGCCCCCGCCTCCTCTGGGGCCAGGCCGCCCCTCTCCCCTCGCTGCGCCGGCCGATCGCCCGTGCTCTCGCCCTCCTCGGCGGGCCGGCGGGAGGGGGCGGGGTGTGGGGACGGGAGAGCAGCCCTGAGCGACAGCAGCAGGACCAGGGACGGCCCCCCACTCCCGGCACCCAGCGCTGAGGGCCGCGGGGCGCGATTCCCTCCTGCTGCCCGGCCCCTCACCGTCCTCCTCTTTGGCGGTTTCTCCTCCTCCTCCTCCTCCACCCTCTCCTCTTTGGCCGGCTTCTGTGAGCAGGACGGAGGGGAGAGCGGGAATGAGAGCCAGCCCAGCGGTGTCCCCAGCGCGCGCCCCCCCCCCCCGGGCGGCCTCCCGGCTCACACAGCACTGGCAGCACTGGCTGCCCATGGCCAAGGGCAGAGGCTCCGATGTTACCGTCCGTCCCCGCAGGCTGCTGCTCCATGGGGCCTGGCCCAGCCCGGCCGGAGCAGAGGAGGGGGCGCTGATGTCACAAGGGCACCTGTGACCCAAGGACCAGCTTGCTGCCAGGCCCCATGCTGTCAGAGAAGAGGGGGCGCAGCTGCCTCTTTCCTGGGGGAGCGGCCGGGTCTGCTGGAGCCACAGTCCGTGTCCGTCCTTCACGAGGGCGTCTCTGGCCCCGCCCGGCCCACAGGACCGGTGTCAGCAGCCCAGGTGGTGCCGAGGGTAGCATGGGCCTGGCTGCCCCGGCCCCACCCGGCCACTGCGTCCTTCCTCAGTGGGCGGGGGCGGGAGGGGGTGTCCTTCTTTTCTGGGGTTCACACCGCAGGGTCCAGGGCTCCCTGCCCAAGGTTCCATCCCTGGCCCTGGTCGGGGTGCAAGCGGGAGGCAACCAGTCCATGTGTCTCTCTCACATCAATGCTCCTCTCTGCCCCTCCCTACCGCTCTCTCTAAGAAAAAAAAAATCGATGGAAAAAATGTGCTCAGATGATTAACGACAAGACAGGCAAACCCTTGAGTCCTGCGTCTGAAACCCTGGAGCCGGGGACTTCCCCACGCGTGTGACAGCGTCCCCCGCCGGAGACGCCTCTGTGGGGTGGCAGGAGTCGGCGCTGAAAGATCCGGCCCGTTGTTCCGGCAGCTTCCGAAGCCAGCGCGCCCGCCGCCCGGCCCACGTCCAGCCCCCTCACCCTCCCGGCTCAGCGGCAGCTCCAGAGGGCGGGGCAGCGGGCCAGCCTCTCCCTTCCCGGCACCATCTTCCTCCGGGAGACCAGGGCTTAGGGCTCTCCGCCCTTCAGGACGCAGGGCTTCCCGTCTGCGCCCGCGGCGGAGCGCCGCCAGCCCCGTGCGGCACGCCGGTTCCCTCTCCTCCCCGCACGGCGCCCCAGCGGCTGCCAATGCCGGGAAAACGTTTCGGAAAAACGTTGAAATTCGCACGAAACGTGACCGTGTCCTGTGACCTGGCAGAACCGTTTTTCTCTTTTCTTCTCCCCCGAGCATTCGCAGCCCAGCACCCCGTGGCCATCCCCAGCCCAGCGCCCCGTGGCCGTCCCCAGCCCAGCACCCCGTGGCCGCCCCCCCGTGGCCGTTCCCATGGCCGTCCCCAGCCCAGCACCCCGTGGCCGTCCCCCTGTGGCCGTTCCCGTGGCCGTCCCCAGCCCAGCACCCCGTGGCCGTCCCCAGCCCAGCGCCCAGTGGCCGTCCCCAGCCCAGCACCCCGTGGCTGTTCCCATGGCCGTCCCCAGCCCAGCACCCCGTGGCCGTCCCCAGCCCAGCACCCCGTGGCCGTCCCCAGCCCAGCACCCCGTGGCCGTCCCCAGCCCAGCACCCCGTGGCCGTCCCCAGCCCAGCACCCCGTGGCCGTCCCCAGCCCAGCACCCCGTGGCCGTCCCCAGCAGGCCACGTGTGGGCCCTCCCACGTCCCCAGCAGCCGTGGGGGGCTGGCGAGGGGCGCAGCCGGCGGGGCGGCTGCTGAGCCATGAGACAGGTGCCCTCCACGCCCTGGGAGCCGGCAGAGTCCCCACGGCACCCTGCCAGCCGCTTCCCCGTCTCCGCTGGCGGAGTGTGGGCCCGGGGGCACTGGGCCGGTGGAGTGGTGCCTCTGGCTGGGGGTCCTGGTGGCCGGCTCGGGCCCGGCTGGCTGGTGAGCCTGGAGGAGGCGCTGGGCCTCGGGTGCCACCTCTGGGGCCAGGCGGAGCGCGCTGCAGCCTGCCTCCCCGTGGCCCCGGGGAGAGGCGCCGGGCCCGTGCGGCTCCTGCCCCTGGCTTTTTATTTACTGTGCTGTTCTGGACTCCCTGTCCGTGCCGGACAAGTGCCCTGAACGCACGGCGAGGCCTGCCGAGCCCACGGGTCCCTGAGGGCCCTCCCCGCCCTGCCCACGCCGTCCCGGCACCAGCCATCCCAGCACCAGACATCCCAGCCCCGGCCACACGGCCCCGGACATCCCAGCCCCGGACACACGGCCCCGGACATCCCAGCCCCGGACATCCCGGCCCCGGCCACACGGCCCTGTCCATCCCGGCACCAGCCTCACGGCCCCTCCAGAGCTGCCCTCCTGGTGTGGGAATTCCCGGGGCCCCTGGCCATTTCAGGATAAAACCCACCCTGTTGGGCGTGGCATACAGAGACCCCAGGACGGAGCCACCACGGCTCCCTCTGCATCTCCAGCTGCTCCGGCCGCGCACACCAGCCCAGCCCCAGCGCACCGGCCCGTGTCCACGGCCCCTCCTGCCTCGCCCGCCGGGCGGCCTGTCTGCTTCACGCAAAACCCAGCGAGGCCGACCCCAAACCCCAGCGGAGGCCGCCCCACAGCCCAGCGGAGGCCGCCCCACAGCCCGCCGGAGGCCGCCCCCAAACCCCGCCGGAGGCCGCCCCCAAACCCCGCCGGAGGCCGCCCCAAACCCCGCCGGAGGCCGCCCCACAGCCCGCCGGAGGCCGCCCCACAGCCCAGCGGAGGCCGCCCCACAGCCCAGCGGAGGCCGCCCCACAGCCCGCCGGAGGCCGCCCCACAGCCCGCCGGAGGCCGCCCCACAGCCCGGGGCTGAGGCTCCTGGGCTTTTCCCGCCGCAGAGCAAGCCCGCACAGACCCTGCCGCCAGCAGCTCCCCCAGCCACCGCCTCCTTCCCAGGGGAGCTCCCCATTTCCTGGGAAAACCGTGCTGTGGCGTCTCGGACACCTGCCGCCCAGCCGGGCATGGACGGGGCTCCCAGGTCCGAGCAACACCTCCAGGTGCTCCCCTGCAAGACACAGCTCTCAGTGCTCCATGCTGTCGGCTGCGGGAAGCTCTCGGCAGTGCCCGGGTCTTAGGGAGGTGGGCAGCCTGGTGTCCCACCCGAACCCCTGCTCTGCCCGCACCTTCATTTCTGAAGATTAAGACAAACAAACCCACATGCAAATATCACCCCCTGGGGGGTAGGCTTTTTTCCCCCCACAGAAATGTGGATTGGTGCCCTGGCCGGTGTGGCTCAGTGGGTAGAGCGCCAGCCTGCGGACTGAAGGGTCCCAGGGTCGATTCTGGCCAAGGGCACATGCTTGGGTTGTGGACTCAATCCCCAGTAGGGGGCGTGCAAGAAGGCAGCCGATCCACGGTTCCCTCTCATCTCTCCCTTCCGCTCTGAAATCAATCCATAAAATAAAATGAAGTGCGCGTGGATGGGTCATTCTGAACCTACTTCACGTGCGGCCTGGGGTGGAGCCCGGACGTGAGTGAACGGAGGACGACGGAGCTGGGGTAGAGAGGGGAGTCCCGGGAGCGAGGGGCGTGGCCGGGGATTGGAGCCGCAGGTGTCGGCGGGAACAGGCCTCTCTCCGGGCCTTTCGGGCACGGAGTTTGGGTTGGTGGGCACCTCCGATGGGGGCCAGACCTACCTCCTGGTTGCAGACCATTATGGCGAGGACCAGAGGCCATTACAGGGACCCATACTGGAACCCAGTGCCTATTCCTTATTGGAGCCCAAATAACCAGGCCAGTCCTGACCACCATTTCACCACCCTGAGTCCTGCCCTTGCCCCAAACCTCCCAGCTGGGCCCATAGCACCCCCTAGTGACCACACCCTGCCTGAGCAGCCAGACCTACATCCGGGGCTCAGACCTACATCCGGGCCCCAGACCTTCATGGCGGGGCCGAGTAGGCCCACCTGGGGCCCAGGCCACAAACCCGGAACTCAGAGCTGTATGAGGGGACGAGATCTCCATGCGTAACCCCAACAACTGTTCTTTAACCAAGATGCTCAGGTGAGGTACCAGACTGGCCCCTGGCTTCCGACTTCCCTCTGGGCCGGAACTGCCCTCACAGGACCCAGATCTCCCCCTGGGGCTCACACCTACACCCGGGACCCAGACGATCATGGCGGGGCCGAGGCCCAGGCCTCAAACACAGAATCCAGACTTGTATCCTGGGTGCACTTCTCAATTTGGTACCCAGACCAGCATTTCCATAACCCAGGTGTCCAGCTGAGGTACCAGACCGTCCCCGGGGGCCCAGACGGCCCTCCCTGGCCCCAAAGGCCCTCCAGGGACCCAGACCGCCGTCCGGGGCTCAGACCTACCTCCTGGTCACAGACCATTATGGCGAGGACCAGGAGGATACTCTGGGGACCCATACTGGGAGCCAGTGCCTATTCCTTTATTGGAGTCCAAATAACCAGGCCAGTCCTGACCACCATTTCATCATCCCCAGGTCCTGCCCTGGCTCCAAACCTCCCATCTGGGCCCACAGCGCCCCCTAGTGACCACACCCTGCCTGAGCAGCCAGACCTACATCCGGGGCTCAGACCTTCATGGCGGGGCTGAGAAGGCCAAACCGGGGAGGCCACAAACTCTGAACACTATGATCTATCAGGAGACTAGATCTCCATGCGTAACCCAGACCACTATTCTATCACACAGATATCCAGAGCAGGTGCCAGACTGCCCCCCAGGCCTCATACGCCTCTCCCTGGCCCGAACTGCCCTCCCAGGACCCAGACCTCCTTCCCAGGCTCAGACCTACATCCGGGTCCCAGATCATCATGGTGGAGCGGGCGAGATTGTCCCAGGGCCCAGGCCTGAAACAGAGTCCAGTCTGGTATCCGGGGTGTAGTTCTCCATCCGTTACCTAAACCACCATTCCGTCACCCAGTTGTGCAGGTGAGGCACAGACCACCCCCTGGGGCACAGACCTCCCTCCCTGGCTCCACTGAGACCTGGACATCTGGGTTATGGAATAGTGGTCTGGTTTCTGCATGGAGGTCTTGTCCCCTGATAATACCCTGGATTTGGTGTTTGTGGCCTGGGACCCGGATGTAGGTCTGAGCTCCTGATGGAGATCTGGGTCCTGGGAGGGCAATTCGGGCCAGGGAGAGCGTTCTGGGCCCCAGAGGGCAGTCTGGTACCTCACCTGGACATCTGGGTCATGGAAAGGTGGTCCGGGTTACAGATGGACAACTCCACCCCCGATACACCTCCCGGATCAGAGTGGGGGTTCCCTTGGGGCATGGGGCGGCCTGGCCGAGGGGCCTGTGGTGGTTTGCAGGCCGGCCATGCCTCCTGGCGACCCAAGCAGAGGCCCTGGTTATCGGGATTTATTTATCTTCTACAACTGGAACTTTGTAGCCTGGAGTGGAGACCAAGGCAGGCCAGGGCTGAAGAAGCTTGGCTTCCTCCATCGCTGGGGGAGACTCTAGCCTCCTGCGCTCTGCAGCTCCGTGGCTGCCGCCATTTCTGTTGGAATTTATTTGTCTTCTATGATTGAAATGTTGTGGCCTTGAGTGGAGGCCTGGGCCGGCCAGGGTGTGTAGAAAGCTTGGCTTCCTTCATCCCCAGGGAAACCCAAGCCTCGCTCCTGATGACTCCGTGGCCATTGGCTGATGGGCATGGCTTGTGGATGTAGCAGAATGGTGGTTCATTTGCATATCACTCTTTTATTAGATAGTACTATTTATTTATGATGATGAACCTGCTTTTGCCCACCCCTGTATATTGAGAGAGGGATCCCAGGGGTCTGGGTCCAGGGAAGGCCACACTGAGCCCAGAGCCCCGACTCCCCTCAGGGCACAGGGAATAGCACACGCGGGAAAACCACCTCCGGCCGAGATGGCGACCCGAGGCAGGAAAGCTGAGTCAGGAGGACACCCAGGCGGGCGGGACAGAGACCCTGGTGATGGAGGGGAGCTCCACCTGGAGGCAGACAGTCCAGGAGAGGGGTCAGCAGGAGCCACGCGCTGTGATGGGGGCGGGGGGGGGGGCAGACTTGGAAACAGCAGAGCCGCCAGGGATGCTGAGCGGGCAGGGCCGGCCCTGCAGGCTCCCGCGGGTGCCGGAGGCTCTGGAACTGCACTAAAGGCCATCGGGAGAGCAGGGGGTCAGCGCCTCAGGTGACACCAGCTCCCGTGTCACCGGTGACACAGAAGGGGTGTCCCAGCAACGCTCCTGCCCAGGGCAGACATTGCTAATCCATCGCCGTCCCTGCTCCTCCAGCCCCAGGACCCCACCAATCCCGGCCGCTGCCTCCAGGATGACCCGGGAGACGCCCAGACTGCCATCGGCTTCTCTCTCCTTCCTGGAGGCGGGCACCTCCTGGGGCTTGTCTGACAGAGACGCGGGGACCCGGGGTGGAGCAGACCTGGTCAGTTCTTTATTGGGAAGGGGATGCACTCTGTAATCCGGCAAATCTGTGACCCCAGGAAGATCTCCAGTTCCAGCCCCAGCTTGTTCGCCATGAGCTTGTACCGGCCCCGGAGGGAGCCGTTGCCGTGGCAGCCGTGGCAGCTGTGGCAGCGCCAGTAGGCCTGGATGATGCGGGCGGCCTGCAGCAGGCGGCAGTAGCGCAGGCGGACGCACCACATGCGGACCCAGGCCTGCAGCCGCACGGCCGCCCAGGTCCGCCGGGTCAGCAGCGCCCGCTGCCTCTTCTGCCTCAGCCAGGGCAGCGCCCGCGCCACCCGCCGCCACCAGCGCTGGATGACGCAGGCGCTGAGCGCCGCCAGCAGCAGCGTCCGGCGCACCAGCGTGCCCCGCCACCAGGCCTGGATCTGCTTGGCTCTCTGGTCTTCATCAGCGGGCGGCTTCTCTTCCTGGGGGGGGGGGGGGTTAGCGAGAAAAAGGAAGGGACACTCGGGACCCGTTCCCCACCCCCCTCAGCCCAGGAGGTGCCAGGAAGGGGTCCTGGTCCCCTGTCAGCCGCAGCCCCTGCCCCGGAAGTTCAGGGGCACCGGGCATGGCACAGGGAGAGGACACGGGCAGGTCACGGGGCCTCTGAGACTCAGGGTCCCACCTGTCCCAGGGGCTCCCCTGCCCTCCCCTCCCAGGTCCTCGGACAGAAAGCACATGGGCTCAAGGCAGAGGGCCAGCACGTCCCCCCGGGCTCCACCTCCTGCCTGAGTGCAGGGCCTCTCCCGGCTGGAGACTGGCGCCCCCAGGCTCGCCTCTCCTGCCCGATCCAGCTCCTCCCCACCCTCCTTCCTCTGCCAAGTGCTGGGGTTTCCCTGCTCCTCAGGCTGGTGTCTCTTTGGTTTCTTGCTCACACACATTCTCGGGTCTCACACCTTCAGCATGCACACCGGGGCACGTGCCTGCCACACGCCCACACCCTGTGGGACCTGGGCTCCCCTTTACCTGGCCACGCCTCACGCTGAGGTCCCCACGGCCTGCCGGGGCCATGGGTGGGGGTTGATGTGCTTCCATAGCTTCTCCCTCTTGCAGTATCAGCAGGGTGATGTCCTCATGGTCTTCTACTATGACCTGCATCAGATGGCCCTCCTTCTGCAGCGAGAGCCGAGGAGAAAGGCGTGGCGGGCGGGTCTCTGCACACACACACACACACACACCTGCCCAGAGACCCTCGATGCCGGGGCCTCCCACGGTCCCGGGGTCCACCTTCCCCGACCGGCACCGAGGGGACCGGCTGCGCTTACACAAAACCGCAGGCCCATGATGCGGAAGTCGGTGGTTCCAATCCCGCAGGCCTCTATCCCCTCCCGCAAGGCTCCATGGCCGAGCGCGGTGGTCCGGGCGCTCCCAGGTCTGCTCTCCTCCCGCCCCGGCTCCGGCAGGGAGAGAGGAGGTGGGAGGGCAGTGTGATGTCATAAGGGCCCCTGTGACTCGGGGGCCAGCGTGCCGCCCCTCCATGGAGGCCTTTTGGGTGAAAACATGTGCAAATGCCCCTCCGTCCCTTTCCTCCATCCGTGCCCAGCCCGAGGCTGACGGGTGAGGCTCCTCAACGCCAGCCACGGGCATAAAGAGCGCCCAAGGTTCACCCTTCCCGTCCGGCCGGCGAAAACCTACATCCGAGACCATTTACCCTCTACCAACCAGGACTCAAGCACATGGATGCCAAGGAACCAAAAGATCCGGAAGAACGAGTTGGGAGTCGAACCCGGGACCCCTCAGTCCCCAGGCCGACGCTCCATCCACTGAGCGAACTGGGTCAGGGCGGGAGCCGCGTTCTGAAACGAGCTCCTCTTCACAGAAGGAGTCTGCAGGTGGCCGGCCGCACGGGGGATGCTCCTTAGTCGTGAGGAAAAGGAAAGTCAGAGCCACCGGACTCATCTCTGGGCAGATACAGAATGGCTGCAGCAAAAACTGTTTCCCAGAGAGACCCACCGCAGGGCGTGTGTGCATGCGTGTGAGCACAGCCGTGGACACCGGCAGGCGGGGGTGAGGGTCTGTGCTGGGGTGGGAGTGGCTGGGGAGAGGTCTACGGGGTGGGTGGGGGGGAGGAGACGGTGTAATACTTTAAGGAATAATAACTACGTACGTACAGCCTAGCCGGTGTGGGGAGGGATCCACCGACCAGCCTTTGTCCCCAGGCTTCCAGACCTCACCGTCCCCTGCCCGTCCGTCCACGGCGGGAGCCGCCACGGTCCCGGCGGGCCACGTCCTGTGGCCAGCCGCACCGCCGTCCCTGCGTCCCGCGGAGGCCTCAGGCGGCCCGGCCTGGACGGCGGGTCCGTTCCCAGGGGCCCGTGAGCCCGTGAGTCTAACCCCAACTACGCTCAGGTCCCGCTCAGCACCCCTCAGGCGTCCCCAGCGCCGCCGCCACAGCCCCTGCGCACCCATGGGGGGCGGCCGGGAGCCGGGGGGGGGGGCACGGAGGCCCCTCCCGCTGCAGCTCAGACGCCTCTCAGGAGCCGGACAGACCCTCCCGCCGGGGACACACAGGCCCCTCCAGGGATCCACGCTGGAGGGGAGCCTTCGTTCCCCTGGGAAAGCCCCCGCCGGGGGGGGGGGGGGGGGGGGGGGGGGGGGGGGACACGGCGGGAACCCCTCCTCCCTGCCCCCGGCGGCAGCCGCCAGAAGTGACGGGAGCAGGGAGAGAGCGGGACTGGAGTGACCGGCTGCGTCCGAAGGCACGAGGTCAGGGCAGGCCGCAGCGCCGGGAACTAGCAGTCAGGCGGCTGGTCCCGGGTGAGAGACGCCCGGGAGAGGAGAGACACAGTCAGGCGGCTGGTCCCGGGTGAGAGACGCCGGGAGAGGAGAGACACGCCTGGAATGGGGCCAGACCTCACCTGGCTGCACCTCCTGCACAGGCCGGGTGGGGCCGGGAGCCGGGGAGCAGGTGGGCGGAGCCCGGGAGGCGGTGCCTAACAGTTGAGGGCGGGGCCGAAGACCAGGGGGACCCCCTGACCGTGGGGGAGCGAGTCTAAAGACCAGGGCCATGGACACAGGACAGGTGAGCAGGGCCCGGACCGGAGGGACCTGCCCGGGGCGCGGCGAGCAGTGTGTCCGGGTGAGCGGAGGGTGGAGGAGCGGACGGAGGGGCCCGGGCGTGCGAGGGCGGGGCCCCAGGCCAGGCCCCTCCCGGCGGCGGGGCCTCACGGCGGCCTCTCCGGCTCTCCCTCCCCGCCTGCAGCGAGAGGAGGCGGCCGTGAGGATCCAGGCCTGGTGGCGCGGCAGCAGGGTGCGCCAGACGCTGCTGCAGGCGGCGCTGCGGGCCTGGGCCATCCAGTGCTGGTGGCGGGCGGCGCAGGCCAAGACGCTGGAGCAGAGGCGGCGCCTGGCCCTGCGGCTCTACACCTGCCAGGAGTGGGCGGTGGTGAAGGTCCAGGCCCAGGTCCGCATGTGGCAGGCGCGCCGGCGCTTCCTGCAGGCCCGCCAGGCCGCCTGCACCATCCAGTCCCACTGGCGCTGGCACGCCGGCCAGGCCCGAGGCCTGCTCCAGGGCTGCTATGAGGTCAAGGCCAGCCGCCTGGAGCTGGACATCGAAATCCTCATGGCCTAGGGCGCCCGCGGGCGGCGCCGGGGGGCTGGATCTCTCCCAATAAAGACGCTTACTGCCCGGCCGAGGCTCCGCGGTTGAGTGTTGACCTACGAGCCAGGAGGTCACGGTGCCTTCCTTTCCGAGTCGAAGGCACACGGCCGGGTGCGGGCCCGATCCCCATGGGGGCCTGCAGGGGGCAGCGGATCCAAGATTCTCTCTCCTCACGGATGTTCCTCTCTCTCGCTCTCCCTCTCCCTTCCTCTCTGAAATCAATTAAAAAAGTATATATATTTTAAAAAAACACGCCCTTTGGGAGTCAGACCCATGAAGAGGGATTGGCCGCTGACCTTGCTGCTTCCATCCCGAAGAGACTCCCCAGGCCCTGGCTCCCCATGCAAACCGGACCGGACCGGTCCGGCACCGAAGAGAGACCCCAGGGCCCAGGTCAGGCTCAGACCCCTCTCCGGTCCGACCGGCCCCGCCCCACGCCCGGGAGGCCCTTCCGCCCCCAGGCATCGCCTCCGGGGCAAGGAGGAGCTGCGGGAGGCCTGGGTCCTGCAGGCCTGTGCCTGGCGGGGCGGGGGCGGGGGGAGCCGGTGGGTGGACGGGCACCCCCGCTGAGTAACAGCAGGACAGAGCTGCCTGTGGAGGCCAGGACGGGGCTGGGAGCAGCAGCTGTGGCCACCACTCGCCTCCCCCTCCCCCTCTGGGGGGCCTGGGAGAGGAGACTTCCTCCCCCCCAGCGGGAGAACCAGGCCTGGGGGGCGAAGGGGGAACTGGCAGCGGGGAGCTAGGCTAGACTCGGGGGGAAGGCCATGCATTTGGGGTGCAGCCTCTGCTGCCACCTCCTCAGATCACTGTGCTGGCTGCCCCCTCCCGCCCCGCACCCAGATCGCCTCTGCCCCCAAGCGGTCCCCGGAGGCCGCTGGGGCTCAGCTCCGGGGCCTCCTGTTCCCTCGGCGTTGGTGGCTCGCCATCTCTGTGTCTGATCTCCGTCTCTGCTTGTCGTCCCTGCTCTCAGCCTGTGCCCCTCGGAGGTCTGTCCCTGAGCCCGTCTCCCAGAGGCCCGCGCTCCAGGCCCTCCCCAGGCTGTGGGATGGACGGCCTTGTAAGGCCGCGGGTCAGTGTGGCGGTGCCAGTCTGAGGTCCTCATGGACCTCCCGGCCGGCCAGGCTTCCCCTCACCGGGCCACTGTGCATGTGTGTGTGTGTATGCGTGTGTGTAGGTGAGTATGCACACACACGTGTGTGCACGCACATGTATGCCTATGTGTTGTGTGTGCATGTGCATGTGTGCAGGAGTGTGTGTGTGGGGTGCAGGGCAGGGGTCTGCAGAGCAGCTGTGGCAGGCTCAGGCTCCGTCAGCACCGCTCCCAGGCAGGCACCTCGCTGTGCCAGGGGACCCTTCAGGAGGGGAGGTCTGCAGCTGAGCTGAGCGTGAGGGGGCTCTGCAGGCCCAGCCTGGAGGTGCCACCCTGCCCCGCGAGGGTGGCGTGTCGGGGTCCCAGCCTGCAGCGGACATGGCCTCCCAGGGGGTGCGGACATGGGCCCTCAGGGGATGCAGAGAGGCCCCCGGGCCCGGCTAGGGCTCCTGCTTCCTCTGGGCGCAGATAGGCCTGGGCCCCGAGCCCCAGGGTCAGTGTGGAGCCGCTGAGGGAAGGCTGTCCCAGCCCAGGGGATGTGCCGGCCTCTGTGGTTCCACCTGGCGGGAGGATGCTGATGGGGCAAGCGGAGGTGATGCTGGCCGCACTGCGGGCCTTGCTGTGCGGAGGAGGCAGGGGTGGGGCAGGGACAGGGCAGGCCAGCGCCAGCCACACAGGAAGCGAGGAACTCAGGGGCGGGAAGTGGAAGGAAGGGGATGGGGTGACCTGCGGGTACATTAGACGGAGAATGAACAGGAAACCACGAAGCAGGTTGCTGCTACAAAACAGAACCTGTCCGTCAAGCTGGACAGTGTCCACCCCCTCAGGGTCTCAGCCCGGGACGGCCGCAGATAAGAACGTTCCGCTGACGGCCGCCAGAGGGCGCTGCAGACCCGGCGACAGCCTCACGGAGGAGAGGGGGCCTCCTGACTTCAAATTTATTTATTGTATTTCTCGCGGAGAAGGGATCCAGGCCGGGAGCCCAGGCCCCTCCGGGCCCCAGAGGCACGGGGACCCCAAGGGAGGCACGCTGACCTGCGGGCAGCCCCCCCCCCCCCCCCCCCGGCCCAGGGCAGCCGCCTGGCCCCTGTGCTGTGTGCCCGGCTCCCATGGCTGGGTCCGTGCACGCCAGGCTGGCTGCTTCCAAGCTCCTGGGGCGGGGGCGGGGGCCGTCCGTGGCCCTCAGGAGCGGCTGCAGCTTCACTCCAGCTTCATCTTCAGAGAGAACCGAGTAAAATTAAACCGTGCCCACGGAAAAGGAAAGCAGACATATGGCCGGGCCCACGGTAACCAGGGTCTGAAGACGCAGCGCCTGCCTCGGCGGCTGCCATAGCCGCGCTGACGGTGCTGCTATTTGGAGGCGGCGGCTCCAGGCGGTATTTCTATTTCCTTCGGTGCCCGGCGCCTGCAGGGCTTCGATTGCTTACAAGGTGGGGGGAGGTAGAAGCATTGATGTGTCTCTCTCACATCAATGTTCCTCTCTTTCTCTCTCTCCCTCCCTTCCTTCCACTCGCTCTGAAAATCAATGAAAATTTATCTTCGGGGGAAGATCAACAACCACAACGATAATACAAGGAGCATATCGTATGTTT